TTTTTTCCAGGCCTAATCTGGAGAAAAAGCCGAAAGCATTCATCCTATGCAAGGGACTTTTTTCTGCTCTTCTGAATATCTATAGGTCACCTTTAATCAGGCACATTCCATTATAATTGTCCTAAGTTTCATCTAAGGACCATTTCTGTAATGTCAGGAAAAAAAATCCACTTTTTTTCTTTAAGTCATTGTGATTCCATCCGACAGCACAACTTGGAGCTTGGAAACGACAATGGCGATGAGTTTAAGCAGTTAATTAGCCCATGCCCTCTTCCCGAGTGATGTCAGGGAAGGGCCTGGCCAACCACGAGCCCTGCATCTGGCAGTGCAAGGAGCCGTGACTGCCAAAGGGTGCTATCTACTGAAGCGTGAAACCAAACCAGGGCAAGATAAAAGGAGCTCAGTCCTTATAAAAATAGTATTGTTTTTCATTAATGAGCTCTTTTTAATCAAGTGCTCTTAATCAAGAATGCTTTCCTCCTCCACTAAAGGTTTCAGTTTCCATTTTCAGGTAAAAACCTTTCTGTGCCAAATGTAGAAGTTATCTGCTGAGGCTCAGTAACCTTTATTGGCACGCTAGAGGGAGTTTATCATTTTAATTGCTTTTGCCTAGTTAATATAAGACACAAACTTTACACTGAAGATAAAATTTATTCTCTAGAATTTCCATAGGCTCTAAAGGATTTCTGTATCCAACCACCCACAAACACTTACTGACTACCTACTGTAAGCTGGGCACAGAGCCGGACACTAGACGTGCAGAGATGACTGTGGCACAGTCACTGCTCTACAACCCTCGCTGAGCCGTTAGGGGAGGAACATTCAATCAGTGATCTGTATGCAATGTACGAAGTGCAAAATTAGCACTGTCTTCGGACGGTAGGAGGGCACGGAGAGTGTCGAAGAAGACTGAAGTGTCCCATCAAATGGCAGCCGAACTCCCGACTGTACCACAGAAATGAAAACAAATACCCTACCAATTTAATCATTTTTACCTTACGTACCATTTATGCCACTATTTCTTGACATTATCCTGTTAAATGAATCACTTTATAAAAATTAAATTCAGTTTTTGATGTGCTAGTTACAGTTTTCCCAAAAATGTTTGTAGTGGACAATGTTCCCCTTGGATCTCTTTTTTGAAAATTTTTATTTATTTTTATCGTTGACACTACTGCAGATGTCCCCATTTCCCTCCTTTACTCCCCTCCTCCCAACCTGGTCCCTCCTTCCCTCTGGCCTCCCCCACACTGTTGTCTGTGTCTGTGGGTGATGCACGTATGTTCTTCAGCTAATCCCTTCACCTTCTTTTGTCTGGTGCCCCCTCCCTGCTCTCTGACAGCTGTCACTCTGTTCCACTATCCACGTCTGTTTCTATTGTTTTAGACATTTTTGTATGTTCTCTAGGCTTCAGTGTGCTTTTGCTTCCAACAGTCAACACTTGTGACTTTTCTTTGACTAAGAGCCCTCGGATGAGGCTACAGGAGCTACTTTGCCCACACTTGCAGAGCCTGAATTTGTACCAGGGGTGCAGCTTTTAACCAAAGCCTGAGCATATATGGGAGTGTGAGAGCTCTCTTCCCTTACCATGGGTGTGGACATTTCCTCAGCGTTCCCCTGGGAGATCAGGCAGAAGCTACCCTTTGTGAAACTTTGCCTTAAATTGGGCCTTCCCTAGCCTACTCCCACCTCCCCCTGTACAGCCTCCCCTGGGGTCACTTCCTTAAGAAATCACCAGCACACAGATCCTTGTGTCAGGATCTGCTTTGAGGAAGTTGATTTAAGACAATGTGACCCTTGCCTCCCCACAAAAAGGAAAAATGTTCATCCTTGCACTCATAAAATATCTTGTCTATCTACTTCAGTGACACACACAGCTCAGAAACACTAATCTGACATTACACATTCAATTCCACTACACAGAAAACTCTTAGAGTTTCCGAGTAGGTACTTTATATTCTTCTCCAAGGAGCAACTATTTAATGAGACTGAATCTCCTACTAGAAAAGTTTTACTTTTCAGCTTTCTCTCCTCAATTCATTTGCTGATCATCAATCCTTTAGCTACCTGTCTGTCTGTCCTCTGTGGCCCTCAGCCCAGAGCCCACATCTGTTTGATTCTCTCCTACCCAGAGTGAACCCCGTTTTCACCTACTGCTCTTTAGATGAGAAAATAAATTTCCTGCCCTTTTAAAAATAATTGTTTAAGAATCCAGCAATTTTCTACTGTCTGGCTTTAATAATTCTTATGAATTATAATTTACTCTGTCATTTTTCTTAATGTGATTATGTCTACCCGCAATCATTAAAATATATTTGTGTTTATTTGCTGATTCTCTGTTGCTTCCGCTAGAAGCTAAACTTCATAAGACAGGACTTTGCTTATCTTATCATTACTATGCCCCAGTGCCTAAAAACAGTGCTTAGCACACAACAAGCACTCACAAATTTGTTGAGTAAATTGTGCAGATTTTTTTTCAGCAAATTCCAAATTCCATTCTCTATTCTAACTTCCTTTGTGATTACTGATTACACCTATACAAATATCTATCAAGTTTGTGTAGGTGTGCCTGTCACTCTCTCATTAAATAAAAAACATGATGAGGAGATGGACCATCCCTAATCTATCTTGGTCATCTCTGAGGATCCAGAGTGTTTGGCAAATCAACATGACACCCAAAATATTTACGTGTATAGAGTTACATTTACCATCAATGATAGGCCAGAGAGCAGAATCGAGCTGGTCTGCACCATGGCTGTATCTGATTTTCCGTTAGCCCACTGACACGAACGGTCAGAGAGGGAAGTAAAAAGCACTCAGAATGACCTCTCAGAACATCTGTGTTTGCGTCCAGCTTTGCCTCGGTCTTGTGTACATCACAGATGTTCTGAGCATCAGTTTCCTCTTTTACAAAAATGAGGATAATAATGAACTCCTTTGATCTCAAAGGATTATTATAATTAAACCTATATATTTATGTAAAAGCTGGTAGTGCAAATTGCTAGGTATTATACAACTATTAAAAGTTATGATTATTTTCTTGAATATTACATACCAAGTACACACGCGTTCTCTATCTTCAGTTCGTGAACATCTTCAACTACCAAACATATTTGAAACAAATGTACAACTTGTATAAGGAAAGAATATTATAACTTAAATTAAAAACTAATTGCAACCAAATGTTGTCAGGGATGTGGAGCACCTGGAACACTCATTCGGTACTACAGGGAGTATGAACCAGGACCTCTGGTGGGAAGACTGTTTATCACTGCACACTAGAACTGAGCATATGCAACTCTTAAGATTCAAAAATTCCATTTTTAGGTGTACACTCAACGGAAATTCATACATATGTTCACCAGAAGGTATGTAGAAGAGTGGTCACTACAGCTCTATTGAAAATATCCAAACTCTGGAACAGTGGAATGGATAAATAAATTGTGTAATATTTTAATAACATAATACACTACTGAGAATGAACAAAGTAAACAAACTACACTCAGTGCAACAACATGGATGAATTTCAGACACGATATTGGGCAAAAGGAACCAGATGCAAAAGAGTATATACCATATGATTCCATTCACACACAGTTCACAAAACAAGTCTGTGATAGTAGAAGAAAAGACAGAGGTTACTGTGAGGGGTGAAAACAAAATGGGGCTTCTGGAATACTAGAAATCTTTCCTTTCTTTATCCACATGCTGGCTATAGGAATATATTCTCTTTTTGAAAAATAATTGAGCTGAACAATTATGAATGGGCCCTGTTATAATGTTTTCATTTCGATAACGAGTTTACTTAAAGGAGAAAAAAGTCAATGAAAGTTTTAAAGAGTAGATTAGAATCAGTGGTCTGCTGGCATACTGGCCTTCAGAGGAAAAAAGAAACCTTGATTTATAGTATTTGCCACGTCCTACACAGTAGATACTCTCACCAGGTTTGATTTCAGGCTTATAACAACCAGTTCATAAAAGTCTTGTATATTTAACAATGAAGATCTCTCACAAGTTGCAATGAGCCACTCCAGCACATCAAGAAGATAACACCAATGCTAAAATTCACTCTAGAAGTGATTTTTGCCTTATAGTAAACTAATGTCCTTTTTTTTTAATTAAAAAAATTGATTTGAGAGAGAGAGAGAAACACTGATCAATTGCCTCTTTCCAATTCCAGATCAAAACTACAACCTAAGAGCTTCTGGTATACCAGATGATGCTCCAACTAAGCCACACCAGCCAGGGTTAACTAATGTTAGTTAACCCTGGATATGCTTTTTGCCTTATAGTCCTCAAAAGAAAACTACTATATTATTATAAAAGTATCAGTTTATAAGAATATGCAGCTAATAAGCCAACTTCAAAATATATACAGCAAAGACAGATGAAAATACAAGAAAAAAAGCATAACAAAATCATAATGGGATATTTTAGCCATTTCTAGGTACTTGATAGAAAATCAAAAAATCAATAGATAACAAATGAATTACATTAAATTAAAAGTATAACCACTGAGTATATAGAACATTGATTTTACTTCTGTAGAATGCACATTCTTTAAGGCAAAAGCATAGCTCAACAAATTTCAATTAAATGGTATCGTATGGGGAAAAAAGTCAGAAAAATATGGCCTGTGGGCCAAACTCAGGCTACCATCTGTTTTTGACTTATAAAGTTTTCAATAAAATAAAGTTTTATTGGAATAAGTCATGGTCATTTATGTATTGTCTATGGCTCTTTTTACACTATAATGGCAGAGCTGAATAGTAGCAATTGAGACTCTTTGGCCCACAAAGCTTAAATTATATGCTATCTAGCTCTTTAAAAAAACTGAAAAGAGCCCTGGCTGGTGTGGCTCGGTGGTTGAGTGCCAGCCTACGAATCAAAGGGTCCCCGGTGGGGGGCACAGGAGAGGCAATCACACTTTCATGTTTCTCTCCCTCTCCCTTCCCCTCTCTAAAAAAAAGAGTAAATAAAATCTTTAACAAAAAAAAAAAAACAACTGGAAAGAGAGTTAAGCAAGATTGCAGGATACAAGGTCAATATTAAAAATAAATTTTTACATACTAATGAAAAATAATCACAAATAGAAAATTTTAACATATGATGTATAATTGCATCAAAAATTATGAAATACTGAGGGATACATTTGACAAAAAAGTGCATGATTTGTGCACTGAAAACGATAAAACTGCAGAGATATACACCATGATCATTGATCAAAAGGAGCAACAATAGTAAAAGAAAACATAGGGGAAATCTTAGTTACTTCAGGTTTTTGTAAAAGAACTTCACAAAAGTTCTTTGAACAGACTTCAAAAAAATACAAATTTCTGAAAGAAAAATCAGACTTCATAAAATTTACAAACTTTTACTTTTAAAAGGACAGTATTAAAAAATGTGTAACAAACAGCACTGTGTAAGACCTAGAACTTGCCTCACGCTGGCCATTATGTAAGTGCCTTCATTCACATTAAAACTCAAGGCCCTGCCTGTTAAATGAAGACAGTACTAAATTGCCTTCATAGCCCATTCTAGCTCTACTGTTAACCTACAAATGCTTCCACACGTCACCTCCAGCACGTGGAACACATCTTACTGACCAATACAGCCCTCCTCCCCACTGACACAGACGACCTTTCCATAAGAGCACTCCAGAGCCATGCACCACCACCGACTAAAGGTGACACAAACCCTATTTGTCATCCCTATTCTTATATATATGGCATCTTTTGAAATATGGCTAAACAACTTTTCTACTGGTATACCTTATTTGCTTTTCTAATAGTTGTGATAGGTTAAGACAAAAAAAAACAACCCCCTCTCCAAATCATTCCCATCTTTTAGGATTATAGAGAATTAAATTATAGAATTCAAATATTCTTCTACTCTAAAAAAAGGGAAGAAAATCATCAGGTAAAGGAAACAAAATTATCCTCAGCTCTGTGTAGAAGAATTCTATTGAGAATAATGCTAATAAATATATAACAACAAATAGTGTACTTCAGGTAGACAGTAAGAATTTAATAGTAATATTACAAAATAAATGTAAAAAAATCAAGTAGTTTTAGAAGTTAGAAATAATACACATAATAAATTCAGCACAGTACCGATAGTGCTGCCAGATATGATTTTATTGTTCTAATTATAGATTATGCCAATCAGGCTGCTCTGTTCTCAAGTTTCAAAATAAATCTGCTTTCATTACTGAAAGCATCTGGACTTGAGACGACGCTAATGAAACTACGTCATGAAGCTGTGTGACTATCATCTTAATGATCTTCTCATAATGGAAATAAAAGAGGCAGCATTTACCCCCTTCGGAGTAACAGTTACCCAAACTGTCACAGTGTCAAAATAAAAACGACTCCTTTCTCCTTTTTAATCTCAAATAAGCACATGCATGAGAGAAAACATAAAGGAATAACTTTATGCTATATGCTAGGTCAATGTTAAAACTCACAGATTAATTTTTAGGTGTAATATTCCTGGTTCTGGTCATTAAAAAGAAACAAAAGTAATTAACCTTTTTTAACATCAGGAAATAGAATTTTGCTATTCTTTCATAATCAAATTTTTCAATGATATCAAAGACTGTTTCTATAGACTTTTCACTGAGCTACTTCAGGAAACACACTGGTTGAAAAAGGACAGAGAATATAAACTTGAAGGCTAAAAATTCCATCTTCAAAATGTAAAGATTTAAGTAGAGCCCTTGACAAGGTTATTTGATACTTAATTGCTGGTCATGACAACAAGAAAACAGAAAAAAAAAAGGGTTATATTTAAATACTCAAATGAAACACCACAGGCAGGTCTTTCACAACCCATGTAATTCTTTTAACATAAAGACATTTGCTGAAAGTAAAAATTACCTTACTTCATGGTAAATCTTCTTCAAAACCATCAAGTCCAGTTCTGGATCAATGTCTCTTTGCTTTGGTTGGATGATTTAATAAAGTATATATTCTGCAGGAAGTAACTACAGAACTCAATTGAATCTTAATTGAAAAATGTCATGTTTGTCCATCTTTTTCATGCAATCAGCATGCCCATCTTAAATCTGATATATCATTTATAAAAAACTGCTACATTCTCCACTGAACCTTGTTATTCTGATGAGCCAAATTTAAATGCTTTCATACAGTTGAAGATTAAAGAATGTTCTGAGGATTACTCGTCATTATCTGTAAAAAAAAAAGAAAAAAATTTAATTCATTTCACTTCAAATAAAACAGCATGTATCTAGCTATAAAAAATTCATACTTTTCATTGCTGTAGAAAAAGAGCTTTAACATAGTATTAAATTGTAGTTTTTATTATAATATCACATACTCAGTATAAAATATTTAGATAATACAATGGAGAATAAAGTGGGTTATCATCTATAACCCAAAGACAACCTATGTTGATAATTTTATATAAAATTTTCCAGGTCTTTTCCTATGCATATACAAATATTTTTTAAAAAATTACAAGAAAATGCAGTTTTGAGACCAGACTTTTTCCCCTTAAAACATATAATGAAGGAAAAGATGGATAAATAAGTAATAACGCAAGACAATAAAATGTTAATGGTAGAATATAGGTGGTGGGTATGTGGGTGATAACTGGAAAGTTCTTTCAGCATTTCCATATAATGACAATTTTACAATAACATGTTGAAAAAGAATGTTATAGATATATTCCATGTCAATTTCAATGGCTGCATTGCATTTTATTTTATGGAAATGACATAATCAAGCATTTCTATTTATAGACATTTTGGTTATTTCCAATTTTTCTTTATTCTAAAAAAACACTGTTCCATAAATTAAATAGAGCACTTAATTTTAAAAAACAATCACTATTTTCCACACTCTAGCAAAGGTGATTTGTTCATTAAAATCCAAGTGTCATCTCAAATCACTGCACTGCTCGAAACCCTTCACTAGCGCCCCACTGCCTCAGGATAGAACCTGTGCCCTTACACGGAGTGCAAAGCCCTTCATTATCTGGCTTTTTAAATATTCCTAGCTCTCTCTGCTTTCATTGCCCATTTTCCCTAAGCATCACCCAAATTGTTCTTTAGTAACACCAAATGGCTAATTGTTCCCCTAATGCAACATTTGCATCCCTCTGTGTGGAAGTACACATACTGATTTGGGGGTAAATTCCCATTCATCTTTCAAAATCCAACTCTGATGTCCTCTCCCCTAGGAAGAATTACCCGGACACCTTTATTTCTTCCAATAGAGCTGGTTCATGACCTTATGCAACACGTATTTTATTCCTTCTAATGTTACAGTTATCATTCAATACTACATTCAGTTATTTTTACAATTACACAAAGTTTTCAAATAGGAAAGTAGAGAGAATAAAGTAATGAACATACATGTACCTAATTACCTAGAATTAATAAAAGTTAACTTGTGGCCATACTGTTTTGGAGTATTTGTTAAGGAAAACCATTTCACAGATAGAAGGTATCCTTTTCCAACCTTATTGATCTCTCCTCTTCTCCAAGGACATCATCAGCATCTTGAATCTGATGTACGTCCTCCCCTCCCACGGTTTTTCACTTTTATCAGATATATGCACACCTAAACAAAATTGCTTTTAAACATTATATAAATGATACTATGAACTATTATTCTACTGATGATATTTGTGGGTTTATCTATACTGATAGATGAAAGCTTAGCTCATTTGTTTTAACTGCTGCATAGAATTTCATTACATAAACACAGTACAATATCTAAAATGAATGTGGAGAAAACATGTGTGTTTCCTGCTTAAGAAACTAAAAGTCTGTACTTATGCCAGTTACTTACACCATGCCACATTATGACAGAGTCCCATGAAATCCAAATACTGTAAAAACTGCTGAGGATTATTTTTCAGCCCTAATTTATAAAATGGGGTTCAAGATCTCAATAAAATCAGGAATCCACAAGTTCCAGATAATGTTTTAATTTTATATATTCAATTTGCTGATAATAAGAATAATCTTTTAATATTTTGGGAAAAAACATCTGCTTTATAGTAATAAGTCACAGCTAACAGACATTTTCAAGGACTAAGACTTGATTTTTTTCACTTGGAGTCTAAAAAAAATCTTCCCCTTTAATGGGATTGACATGTTATTCAAGTTTTAGGAGAACTGTATCATAGTCCCCTCTTTTTAAGAATATGCAAATTTTTTCCTTTCTCTCAATACCAAAAATACCTATCCTCCAAGTAACTGACATGTTTTGTCCCCTGAACACTGTGACTCAAGTGCTTAATTAGGTTTCCTGCTTTGCTAGAAAGATCAGCCCCAAATTTGTGATCTATTTTCACAAAATGTAGAGACCATTCAATTTTTATTCTTACTTCAGACTTAGCTTAATATTATATTGCTTGCATGCATTTAACTGACACACTGACTTTCCCAAATGCTTGTTCTTAATTTAATTTTATCTTGTACTATACATGTTTTTAAATGCAATCTTTAACTTTTTTGGAATAGTATGCAATATAAATAATAATTTATATTGTTAAATTTAAGCATCGACATTTTAAATCCTCAATTTTAGTCCATAAATCATACATTTAAAACAACAGAAGTTTTGGATAACTATTCCAGAAATATGTTCTTGTTCAAAATAATCAGAATCAGTTTATATATTCATTTACTCCTTACTTCATGGTAAAATATTTAAAACAAAAAGACCACATATTATTTACCTTGATAACCCACTTTATTCACTAAGTTTGATTTTAAGTAACTTGGAAACTTTTCTAAAAAATTAAATGCTCCCAGAGTAAAAACCTGTACTTAGAAGGATAATCAAAAGAACCTGGAGTACAAGCTGTCCGAGAAACTCTAGAAGAGAACTTTCAAGATATTTTGTGCAATGGAATATCTATACAGTACAGTCTTCCATTTTTCCTCCAAATGGTGTTACTTTATAGTTAATTTTTTTTGTAAAAAACATAACTTTTGGTAGATTCAGAAACTCTTAATCAGACCTTGATTTTTTTCTTACAGTTTTTTCCCTAATTCAGTCAATTCTTTTTTTTTAATTGTATTTTTTTCCTTTATGATTTAGTCTCCTTCTACCTCCTGTCCCCAAAATTACCACACTGCTGTCCATGTCCATGAGTCTTTTTTCCTTTTTGCTCAGAGCCTCCACCCGCTATCCTACTTCCCCCTACCTGCCAGCCTGCTCTCTCTATATAAGTCTGTCTCTATTTTGCTTGTTAGTTCAGTTTGTTCATTAGATTCCACATGAGTGAAACCACATATTTATCTTTCTCTGACTGGCTTATTTCACTTAGCATAATGTTCTCCAGGTCCATCCATCCTGTTGCAAAGGGTAAATTTTTTCTTCTTTTTAATGGCTGAATAGTATTCCATTGTGTAAATGTCCCAGAGATATAAAACATTATTTTAATTGTTATCATCTTAACTACTAAGGGAGCTAAAGGAAACCATAATGAATAATAAACACAGCACTAATTACTGGCTTATGAAGAATACTGGTCTATATTCAATGCATTACATGTTGCTAATGACTCTAACTTTTTTTTGACAGTTATTCTGTTAAGAAGAATAACGAAAATACAATGTTTTTTGATGTTATAACAGAATTCACTGTACCTAAAGATTTTCTAGTTTTGATTTATCAGTAACTATTAGAGTTTTTACAAGACTTTTACTTCTGTTAAAGCAATTCAAAGAAACATCTTTTGCTGAGCTTTATACAATGCATATAAAGGTTCAGGAAAAAAAACAGTCAATGTAAATAAGTTTATGTAACTGTAAAGCTGCTCCCAAAATTTAAAAAAATATATTGAATTTCCTTTTAGCAAACATTTTTCATGAGTCAAAATATCATATATTTTTATAAAAAGCCTTGCTCTGAAATCCTTGAGCTGAGTTTTACCAGCTGCATTCCTATGAACACGAGCTCCAGGTATTCATCATCTCATGCCCAAACACACCTATAGTTCCAAATCAGACCTTACTTGAAGCTCAGCACTCTCCAGACAACCAGAATACTGCTGCTGGACTGAACTTTATAAAACATCTCATTCATTGTGTCAGTTCTTTCATTCAAAAATCCTCACTGATTTCCTGTGTATTTTAAACACTTTAGTTTCGAATGACAAAGACTAATTCTCAATAAGAAGCTTCTAATACGGTCAATTTAATCTTAATGCACATTAATTCCTGGTTCATTCTGTTTTCCCCCACAAGTTGTTCCACCTACATTTGTTTCCATTTTTGGCAGTCCATCCAACCACCCCTTCTCTAATACTGACTGCACTAAAAAGTATTTAAGGTGAGCATTTTTTATATAGTTTTAAACTTTCCTTTATATATTTATGTCTCATCTCCCAAGGAAACTCTAATCAAAGATTACATATGATCAAAGATTAGGTCTTATTAATGTCCAGAGTAATGAAGTGCTAGGCACAGAAGCAGCACATTATAAATACTTTGAAAACCAACCATAGTACCTTAATTAGAGATCACCTCTCTATTTTTACAGCAAAGAAACTGCAACTTAAGACAAAATGAATCACTCGATGTCTCATTATTAGCCTCCTGAAGAGTCAGGACTGTAACACTGGTCTCTCGGTTCCATGTTTAGTGCTCTTGACGAAATTTAAGGAGAAATCATTTTTAACTATAACAACTTTTAATTAAAAAGTCCTAACATTTTGAGTGACTCTATAGGTAAATATTTTCCCAATATAAAAATGGGTTGCATTTATATCACTATAGATGAATTCTACTTACTCTGGAAGAGATTACGGATAGTATTTAGGAGAAACTTTACACATTACTGAAGCATATGTGTCTAAAAGTTTAACACAATATCCTTGATAAGAAATATTATAACTTTTAGAGCTGTCCAACAAGGAGACTTTAAAAAAATCTCGTTCAAATACTACTTATAAATTAAATAAAAATATTGACTTAAAGGATATAAGCCAATAAAAGTATATCAGTATATGCCAGAACCAATAAAAGTATATGACACAACTAATTTTATAATTGCTTAAAAGTATACTAGATATGGCTCCAATACAGATTTCACTAAAATGCATGTGACATAAGCTTATCAATTTACATTTGTCATTTTGTTTCTTTGCACATTTATTTAAAGTATAAAAATGTGAGGAAATCTTACCTTCTTGGTAGGCCCCATCTGCCATGACTAAATGAAGAATCTTGGAATAAAGATGCTGATGTTCATTTCCCAAAATATTCTGAGCTATGGTTGAACAAATCTCAATATTTTCATCTTCATCTTCATGAATAGCCTATACCATATTTACAAATATAAAATAATATTTGAATGTCATCTTTCTCTAATGAAGACTTTGCCAATTATTTATAATAAATCTATTTACCAATAAAAATCACTGACATTTCACTAGTAATTTCAAACACAGCATATTTCAAAATTAAATGTTTTAACTGACATTACACTTACCTTTATTTTCTCATAAACTTCAAAGAACTTTTCAAAGCCTATTTCCTGCTCCAGGTGGAGTCTCAACTCCTCTAAATGGTTAAAGACACTGTCATATTCACACTCACTAGTTATCTCACCGTCACTGTTATCTAAAAAACATGAAAAAATAAGATTGTTTATGATTAAAAACATGAATAATTATTACCCTAATAGACTAAAATTCTTTAAGTGAATAATGTCATTGAAATACACTACTTTGTACTTTAAATAAAGTTTTTGTCGTTATACTTGTCATTTATGCAGGTAATTAATGTATATATAAATCTATCTTAATAAGAGTGTTACTCTGAAAATTTTTTCTTTATAGACATAAACAGTAAACCAGGTTAGAATAAAAACTTCCTGAGAGTTATCATCAAATTTAGTCAAAAACAATTTAAAAAGTGCATCCACATGTTCTACATCAAGGTAACCAACCTTAACAACTATTTTTAAAAAGTAGGTATTAAACAAGGGGCAAAACATGAAAAAAACATGCAGAAGGCAGACAACCTAAGATACACACCATAAAACTTTAGTCAAGGACCTAAAGGACATTATAAATGCTCTATATGTTTTATGTCAATTATGCACCAAAGATGCTTTGAAAAATTCTAGTAAAAGACATAATTACTAAAGAGTCATTCCTTTTCACACTGAGCTCCTCCTTCCAAATAAATAGTTAATGAAATACACTAATTTTCTTTCCATCATAGGGGTAGTGCTATGAACAAAGAATAATTTCTAAACCAAAGTTTTAAAAACTTTCTTTAGTATTAACACACTTCCGGTTAACCAATGTACATAGATGCTCTCTGCAAAATATAAAATGCTAAGAAAACTAAGTTACTATCTTTATTACTAAAAAAATAAGAAATGAGTATTATTATTCTGTCAAGAAGCAGAATAAAAATGCTTCAAAAAACATTTTCTTAATTTAATGGGGAAAATAGAACAATTGGTATGTGCATTTGTGTGAAAAGAAAAAGAATGAATACAAAGTTAGGACAAAGAAGCACGCTTTGATTTTATTTAAAATTGGAAATGGTTCATATCAGGTATCAGAAAAACATACTCCACCTGAAATACCTGTGCACCTGAAAAAGGAAAAGGCCCACCACGATCACGATCATGATCACGCACCTGAGTGCCACTCTTCATTCAGGGCGCTTTCACTGCTGGGGTTGTCTTCCTCATCTTGCGCATCAGTCCCATTTGCAGTCTGCTCAATGTCACTGTTCTTTAAAACTGACTCTTCCTCCTCACTGTACTCTTCCCCAGGTTCTTCCCTAAGCAACTGCTCCATAGAGGCCTGAAGCTCTTGTAAATCTGTGTCAGTTTCTTCAAACACACTGAAAATTAAAAAATTAAACTTTAAAAGTACTAATATTAGATTAAAAAATTTGAAAAAAACCTACAGTTTTGTAAAAAAGATTTTATTTATTTATTTTTAGAGAGAGGGGGAGAGGGGTAGAAAGCGAGGAAGAGAAATATCAGTGTGAAAGAGAAACACTGATTGGTTGCTTCTTGCATGAGCCCTGAGAAGGGATTGAATCTGCAACCCAGGCATGTGCCTTGACTGGGAATCGAACTGGTAATATTTTGTTTTGTGGGATGATGCCCAGGTGAGCCACACCAGTCATGGCAAAAAAACCCCTACAGTTTTTAACAAAAGAAATAAGAATTAATACAACTGATAAATAAAGTACATGACACATAGACTGGAATACATAATAGAAGATGACTTGTTTAAAATGGTCATGAGGCCCAGGCCAGGTAGCTCAGTTGGTTATAGTGTTGTCCCTTTACACTAAGGTTGCAGGTTTGAACCCCAAGAAACCACCAATGAATGCATAAATACGTGGAACAACAAATCAATGTCTCTCTCTCTCTCTCCTCCCACCCCATTCCTCTCTCTCTCAAATCAATAAAAAATAAAATAAAATAAAATAAAATAAAATGGGTCTTGATTTGCCAAACAGAATCATGTAACTTTCCATACTACTCATTATTTAAATTTTGAAAGGAAATGTCAGTATTTTAAGAAGATAATCTAAAGAGGTTTTTCACTTGTTTTCTAAAACAAATACTTAATATTCAAATATTTTTCTTTTATGCAATTTTGAAAGTCAGTAAAACCCTGGTGTATAGCACTCTATACAAAGAACTTTCCATATAAACTCTCACTGGGCATTTGACATCTTGGATTGGAAATACTTAGGGAAATTATATGTTCATGTTAATAGGATGATCTAGTGAATAAAATGGTCACCAGAAGTCTTATCTTTAGATGCTTATTCTTGAAAATATTTCTGAAGCCCTCACTGGTGTGGCTCAGTTGGCTGGGTACTGCCCCACAAAGCAAAACACTGCAGTTCGATTCTCAGGCACATGCCTGAGTTGTGGGTTTGATTCCCTAGTAGGGGAGCGTATGATAGGCAATCGATCGATGTTTCTCTCCCCCTCTTTCTCCCTCCTTTCCCCTCTCTCTAAAAACAAATAAAATCTTAAAAAAGGAAAATATTTCTAAAGTACATAATAAGTAGACATTACCATAATTATAATACACTAACTATAATAATCTTATCTGAGGAATCTTGTTTCCAAGAAATTCCTCAGGATATTAATTCTATTTTCATGGACTTATAAATGCTAAAATAAACTAATTTATGCAAATAGTATTTTATATTTATATAGTATTTTAGTTTAGTTGTATCCTACTATTTAAGTTTTATTCCCACAAAACTCACTTTAGAGCCATGGAACTGTGAATTCAAGTGTTTCAGTGACTCACTCAAGGGCGCCCAGTCAATGAATGACAAATACAGGACCAAAATCTAGGTCTTCTAACACTCTGCAATACCCCAAAATGCAGTCACAATGTTATCTCTCTTATGATTTGCTTCTTTCTCTTAAAGTGGCATGCAAATAGAAAAATTTGCTAAACCAAATACAAGGGCTGGTAAAGACCTTTCCTGAAGTTTATTCTCCAATCAAATACACAAATGTTTACTGAAGAACTAGAATTTCAACAATATTATGTGAGACAGTGAATAAAATTTCTATTAAAAAAAGAAAATGATCTTTTAATATAGAAATATCTTTACTTTGTTACTTATGTGTACAAACTCCTACACTTTGACTTTGTAGAATATGTAGAGAAGCAAAGCATCTGTGAGAAAGAGAGAACGTGTAGTGCTTTTGGATCATCCTACCAGTAGCATTTAACTTACTATTTAATTACAAAACGAACAGACCAGGTACACCTGCTAGGTACCATTACTACAGTGACTGGACAGTAATCATTGATAAAAGCTTATTTTAAGCAGGGCTGCTAAGTCAACGATTGTGAGGAAAATATGAGAAGATTAAGATCTCTTATGAAGTGAACATTCAAAAAATTGTCTCAGGTACTTTAAAACCTTGTCCCAAATTCACTTTTTAACTAGGCTTTCATGTTGTACTACCTTGAGTAAAATTTGGATCGAAAAAAATTTTTTTCCACAAAGGAAATATCAAGTGAAATTTTCCTATAATAGACATGGAATAACTTACTTTCAAAAATCATTTCTTTTTCAAATTTAAAAAAATCATTTTAAAGTCTTCTAATTTAAATTTTAAAATAAACTGTAATCAACCAGTGACTGAAAGGACAGGAGCCACAAATAAGCTACAGCTCACTCAGATAAAAACCAATGACTTTATATAAAAACTGAGAAAGAAACTGTAACCTAGCACTTTGTCAGCCACACAGGTGCTGAAGTGTAGTGTTCTCCAATACGCTTAATGAAAAGACAGTGAAGATGCTAATGACCACAGCTAAGCAGAAGGAAAAAAGATAAAAGGGTCACTTTTCCTCCAAATTTTGAGGGCACCAGCAAAATTCTACAGAACTCTATGAAAAATCAAAATAAAGGGCAACATTTAAAAGATAAAATTTGGCTAGAAACTTAAGAAGGAATAAGGCTTAAGAAAAACAAAGAGAGGAAATGAAATGTAGCCGATGAAGTAGCCCTGGCTCAAGTATTATAGGGAAAATGGCAAGACTGACACAATGCATTCAATGACACCAAAACATGAGTTCTTTCTATTGAATGGCAGAGGTGAAAAGGAGAAAATTAAGTTAAAAAATCAAAAATAAATCATACAAGTTTTAATATTTTGCAATATATTTCCTGGTGACTTAAATATACTGCCCCTCCTCAAACACTTTAATCCAGGGTACTCTGGTTCTATTCCCCCAAAGTTTGCACCTTTGTCTGAGGGGCTGGAGGCTGACTGGTGTCAGAGGACATGGAGCAGGATCACTGACTAAAGGGCCATTCCTTCCAACACTCTCAGAAGAGCTGGTTAAATCAGCCCCCTAAACTTTAGATTCCTCATGAATCACAAGAAAAGGAATTTTGTGAAAGCTATTACGTAAGTTACATGCAAAACGACGTGTAAGCACATGCAGACACACACAAACCAAACAGCTATTCCCCCCCGCTACCTCTCTGCTGCCATGGTTTTGAAATCGTTCACGTCAGAAGAGAGACGTGGATGGAGTTTTGGTCATCTTCCTGGGCAACTGTAGTCGACTAAGGAAGTACTTCAGAAATTCCAGCTGCAATCCCTGTGTCATGTGGTGTGACACTATTAAATAGTCATTAGCCTGCTAACATTCATTCCCTTAATAGTTGTTATCAAGCACCTTTCCAGTGCAAGCCATTGTGCTGGATGCTAAGTGGTGAGTAAGAGAGAGAACACCAATGGAAACTATTTTCTTTCTTCTTCAAGTGAGATTAAGTGACATCATTCAGAGGCAGAAATACATAGGCAAAAATCAAAACTTGCATGACTGTACTTTAAATATGCTGTAAAAAGTTAAAGGCATAGTGAAAACTTAGCTACAAATCTCTTTAAAAAACTGTCTAGGTGAGTCATCATCTCTAGAACACATACAAATTCGGAATTCTGTTAGTGTGACTATGTGTTAATGATGCCATACGCACATGTCTTCAGAATCAGAAGGTCCTTCTTTAATGTGCTCATCTTCAATTTCATCTACTTCCAGATTGTCCTGGCGTACATCTCCTACAGTGGGAACATCCATCAGTGTTCTGAACAGCTTTGAGAGATCTGGAAGTGAACATGTTCTCAACATCTAAAAAAAGCCAACAGATTTCTTATTACAAGTAAGATAATTAGAAAATAAAACCAAAAAATTAGAAAATTAGAGCTAATAATTTTATTATTATATACATGTGAGATATATGTATTAATGGCTGACTTGCCCAAGGTGAGAACAAATTCTCTTGAATTTCAGGGAGGAAACTAAACCTGCAAGTTATGCTTGAATTTCAGCTCAGAGGTTTCAACACAAAGTCACCTTCAAAAGGCACGGAGAGTTGTTTACGTGGGATGTGCACACGGCGTGGAACTGGCCATGTGTCAGGAGCCCAGCAGTGCTAGAAACTGCTGGTTTACTCCTTCACACTCATGGTCGATAATGTCCCACGTTTATGGTGTCTCTGCTAAGTCTTCCTCTACCTTCCTAAGGCCAACCCTCCATATATATCCAAATCCTAGAGTTAGTCCGAAGCTTGGCTAAGCACAGTTACACATAATTGGTGGCTCTTTGTATCACTTTGCCACTAAGAGTTGCTGGCCAGCTGACACTGGTTAAATCAGGGACCTCAACTTAGTACAAAAAAAAAAACAAAAACGCCTAATACTGCTTCCCCCAGTAATGGACTATGAGTGGAGTCTTTCAAGTGTTCATAGTGAGAACCATTGTAACAGCAAGGCCAGAAAGAACTCAACAAACTGAACTGAGAGAAACAATGCATACAGTTGAGGTGTTTAGAATTTGAATTTGTGTTGGGTAAGATCAGGGATATTAGGACTAGCATTTGCCCACCAACAATGAGAATGTCAATGGGCTGCAAAACAGATACCTATTATACAAGTCTCAGGGCTGGGTTCACTTCAAAAGCATCCTGAGACCCGAAACAGGACTCCCAGGGCCCTTGATAAGAACCCAGCACCAGATGGGAGACTGTGAAAACACAATGTTCAGCATGTTAATGAAAATTTATATACTTGGCTGATTTTATTGGTACAATCTGTTTTTGAGAATAAAAAAGGATAAATTTCCATTATTTGAACATAATTTACATATTATAGCACTCGGGGGAAAAAATGGTTACAAACTACAAGATGTTAAAGATACACTGCTTGTTAAAGCACTTAATAATAGTACTGAAAGTATGTCTTTTGCTGAATCTCCTACCGTCAGCAGAATTTATGCTTGCCTTGTTTATTATTTTAATGGTTTGAACCATGTATATTATAAACCAGCAGTATGCAAAATATACATCCAGCAATAGTTTCTCCAGATATATGCTAATCAAAAAAATTAATAGCATATATGCATTACATGCCTAAATACAAAGCGACTACATGAAAGGATGCAATATTTTTTAGGCTGACATAAATTTTAGCCCTGGAAAATCATCTCAATTCTAATGTATTCCTTTCACTAATTAAGATAACTTTCACAGCATAAACAATAACACAGTTGGGAAGACACTTCAAGTGCTATGTAATCGGACAACCTCCTCTCAGAATGGGTTTACACACCTACCAACCCAACAGCTATCCGTCCTGCGTTAAAAAGTCATTAATGTTCGTCATCTTCTTTAACAAACTGTTAAAGTTTTTAACAGGATATTCATCTTTGGTCAGAAAATTTCATATAAGAAAACTTTCAGCTTTATAATTCTGATTCTACTAATTTTTTTACCTTGTTAAAAGCAATATTCTAGCTTGAACATTCATAGATCTCTATAGTCAGACTAATTTTTTTCTAGATTCTTCATAGCATGATTTTACACAACTAACATTTGTTGCCATTATAAATCAAACAGGAGAGCAATGTTTTAGAAAACTTTAAAACATAAAAAATATATGCTTCCTTTAGATTTTTTAAATTGTTGGATTACTTCTATTTTTCCTCAAAAATGAAGACAGCCATGTAAGACAGTAAAAGAATACTAGTTGCACTAACAAAACTTCACATGAAATTGTACTTAAAAAAAACCTATTAACTCACTTTTACATCTGTAGTATTTTTCATATAAAATTATGAACTAGTTATTCTCTGGTAATACTATGAAGTGATTTATAATGAGCACATTTGTTTAGCCTTTCCTTACTGTAATTAAACTATAACCTTGTGCTCTCAAAATAACTTATACAAGTATTTGCTCACTCCAACCCATAAACCAGATTAAAAAGGAATTTAAAACACTAATTTAAAAATTATAAATATTTATCAAAGGTACAAACTATGAACATCACCTGAGACTTGATATTTTAGCAAATCAAAAGAAGACATTTAAGGTACACGTCTGGCTGTGCATTGAAAGAAAAGAAATTCTCAAGTATTCAGAGAGATCAGTGGTCCACTCCATTCCCCGGATGAGGAGAGTATCGGTGGAACACACCTGGTCTCTCTCTACCCATTATTCACTATCCCCTAGAGTGAGGAGGGACGACAGGGAAGGACAAGTAGCTTTTTCATTTGGCAACCTGCATTCTGTTCTTACACAAGTCAGATCATGAGAAGATCACATCTTTAGACTATTTTATTTTGACTTATTAAAAATTTACCTTCAGTGATCTTTAAGTGTTATCCTCTCAATTTTATCAAGTCATTCTTTTTTAAAAGATTTTATTTATTTAGTTTTAGACAGAGGGGAAGGGAGGGAGAAAGAGGAAGAGAAACATCAGTGTGCAGTTGCCTCTTATGCACCCCCAACTGGGGGATCCGGCCAGCAACCCAGGCATGTGCCCTGACAGGAATCGAACCAGTGACCCCTTGGTTCACAGGCTGGCACACAATCCACTGAGCCACACCAGCCAGGACTACAAATACCTTGTGAAAGCTGCTACTTCATTAACAGCGTTTCTTGTTAGAAACAATGCAACCCAGACGACATAAGTCTGGATGTAATGAAATATCCTTTTGAAATGAAAGTGAAATAAAAATATATTTAAATAAGCAAAAGCTGAAAAAAAATTATTACCAACAAGGTTACACAAGAAGTGACAAAGGAAGTTTTTGAAGTTGAAGAAAATAATACCTGATAGAAACCTGAATTTTACCAAAGAAATGAAGAATGTCAGAAATGATAAATATGTAAATTTAAAAGACTTTCTCAATTTTTAATTTCTGTAAAAGATAACTGAATATTTAAAGCATAAACAATAAAAATATTTTGTGGTGTTACTGACATGTAACAGAAGTAATAACAATATCACTGATGATAAACAAGAGAGTAGAAATCAAAGTAGGTATACTGTTGTACAGTTCTTATATGTGAATTGGTATAATACTATTTAAAGAAAAACTGTGATAAGCTAAAGATGTATCTTGAAAATTGAGAAAGACTATTAAATATTTTTTAACATCTACCTTGTAAGCAAGTAGTAGAGATAAAAGACTAAAAATATTCAATCTAAAAGGAGAGAATAAAAGTAAAAAAAAAAATAATGAGACAAAAACCAAAGTAAGTTTAAACTCAATCATAATGATAATTTATCAAAAATTACATTAAATCTGAATGGTCTAATGACTTTAATTAAAAGATTGTCAAATGGTTAAAAAGCAAATCTCAACTATATGATAACTTTAAGAAATCTATTTTAAATATAAAGTATCTGATTAAAAGTAAAGGATGTAAGAATATATATCACATAAACATTAAGCACAAGAAAGCTGGAATGGCTATATTAAAACCTGACAAAGTAAATTTCAGAACAAGGTGATATGACCAGGAAAATAACTGTATCATTTCATAATGATAAAGGGGTCATATTCATCAAGGATAATAAATATTAATAATTTACATTCAACTGACTGAAAATTTCAACACTCCTTTCTCAGTAATTGATAATGAGAAAGAAAATCAGTAAGGCTATAGAAGACTTGAATCAAAGAGGAACACTTCCCTAACAATAAATGTATCAATTTATCCAGAAGGCATAATAATACTAAATTTTATTTACACAATATCAGAACTTCAAAATACATGAAATGAAAATTGACACCACTGAAAAAATTATACAAATATAGTTAAAATTTTCAACCTTTTTTCCTCAGCAACTGATAGTTAAAGTAGACAAAAAATCATTAAAGATAAAGACTTGAACAACACTATCAACCAGTTTGACAGTGTTCAAACTAGTACTTGACATTTGTTCTTGACATTTACAGAACACTTCACCCAATGAGAGAAGAGGACACATTCTTTTAAGAAGGTATGTTAATAGTAGTAGCTGCCTGCCAGCAAAGGAAACTGAAGAGTAACTAATGACCACAGAGAAAATCTAGGAAGTTACAATATAAAGCAAGCCAACAGATGATTTAAAAAGTAAGGTGTATATCAATTCTGTTGAAGGAAGAAAAGTCAAGAAAGGTGTGATAACACCGTAGTAGTTGATGATTTGACAGGAGCAATTTTAGTGAAGCAGTGGGCTAAAAGCCACATTGGAACATACAGGGAAGTAAATGGATGTGGGGACTGGAAAGATGCAACATACTCAAGAGGTCTGGTTGTGAAATGGAGCAGAGATACGGGCTGGCAGCTAGAGGAGGACATGTGCTCAAAGGAAGTTCACTATTCATGATGGGCCTAACTAGAACGTGTATGTTCAGGAAATCCACTCTAGTGGAAGAAGTTGACAGTACAGGTTAGAATGACAAAAGTAGGAGTGAATTCCTTGAGAAGGTGAGAGAGGTTAGGATCCAAAGCATGAGATGGATTTCCTTTATAAGAAGAAATAACATAAGTAGTATAACAACATTTTTTAAAAAGAAATTTTAACAGCAATCTTTGTGAGAGGTTAATTATCCCATTTTGGTAAACAGATTATATAAATGCTTATAAATAATTTTTTCCTTTTCTTCATGATTCAAGACCACCATTTACTGATTACTTACTATTTTGGCCCAGTGATGAACTCTCATATTTCAGAGATTTATGGGACAGGCAGATACGGTTTTCTGTCCTTGCCTGAAATGGCTACAGATTGCTTTGATTTTCTTGTGTTTTTTCTTGCCCTTTCTTCTAACATGAAACCTGCTTTGCTGTGTATACTCTCAGAGTAAGTACTTTTACAGAACTTAGTGAGGCTAAAACTAAGGTCATGAAAGAAAATCAAATAATCACATGTATTATGTAAGTAGTAACTTTAAAGGCAGCAACGAGTTTTCGGTTATACACCCCTACTACAAAAGGAAGTATATGAATTATATGATCATCCTTGTCTGTTCCACCAAGGATGCACCAAGTTTTTATCTTTAAAAATCTAACTGCTATTAGCAATCTCTACATTTAACATAAACACAAGAAGATACTCCACAGCCCTGGCTGGTATGGCTCAGTGGGTTGGGGCATTATCCCACCACCAGACCTGGTACGGGTGCTGCGATCCCTGGTCTGGGCACATGTGGGAGGCAACCAACCGACCGACGTTTCTCTTTCTCCCTTCCTAGCTCCCTTTCTCTCTCTCTCAAAGCAATAAAAAAAAATGTCCTCAGGTAAGGATAAAAAAAATACTCCACAAAATAAAAACTTATCTAATTGGAAAATTAAGTTGAAAATCAAAATGACATATTTAAAAACCAATAAAGGACCAAAAAAATCAGGCAATTTACTTATAGATATATTAAAAATGATACAAATTGGTAAATACAGAAATACAAATTATAAAACAGACACAATTACTCATTCACTAAATATATAATTTTTAAGTAAATGAAAATAGTTGGTGTGTTTAGGGGACAGACTCTCACACACTATTGAGAACACTATGAACTGTTTCTTGATGGGGAAATTAGGCAATACATAACTTTTCAAATTTCACTTACAGAAATTTATTTTATGGGAATAATTGTGGATATGGACAAAGATGCAGATGTAGGGGGTGGCAATCACAAAAATTGAAATGTAAAGGCCCAAACGTAAAGAAATAGATCTTTAAAATTATGATACAGCACAACAAATGAAATTTGTCGTCATTAAAGATGATATGAGACAATCTGACAATATGACAAAATGCTATGTTTGTAGTATTATTATTTGTAATAATTTTATAATCTATATTACATAGAAAAGCAGGAAAGAGTATATATGTATCCTATTTTGGTAAAAAAATATAAAAATTATATATGTGAAAAGTAACATAAAATGATATGTGATTTATTTGCATTTTTAAATTCTGTATAATGTTCTAATTTCTTACCAAGAAGTAAATTAGTTACATATTTAGCAAATGAGAAAAGAGGTTTGAAAAACTTTTATCAGAAAGTACATATGAACATCCATTAATCTTTCTTTGTATGAATTAGGCAATATGGCACTTCTATCCATTTAAGATATATTGCTTAAGCATAGTCTCATACTCAAACTGAAAGGTGGACTGGGTAGTGGGAAAGAAAGATAGTATAAAAGCGTATAAGAGGGATCTTTTGCTAAATAAGAAAAGACCCTATAAAAAGAATCTTGAACATGAAGTCAATGAAACAGTCTTTGTCCTGATTGTTTTCAGTATCTCAGAAGATAAAATGGAGGTTTTCTGTTGTTTCTGTAAATTGTTCTGATGTGTGTGTGAGTATATGCATTTGTGTTTTTAAGGGATTAAAACTCATTATGGTTTATCAAAAAAAAACATAAAAATTTTATCAAATGAGTAACATTTTCCATGTCAATGAAGAGCATACTTGCCTTTGGGTTGTTTGCATCAAATAAACCAGTTGAAAGTCCAATCAGCAAGGAATTCTTGGTTTTATTTTTTGGTGGTGAATCAGAGCGAGATCGAAGTGGAAAGGATTCTTCTGGTGAACAAAGAATTGACTGAATTTGAGAGACTACATTCAAGTGTTCGGGATGAAACACTTTATGGAAAAATGGTTCTGGTTGCATAGATTTGTCTATGTCACACTTAGAGTGCTCAGAATCATCTATTCTTGGTTCTGTGGTATAAAGCAAAAGATTGTGTGATAAGTGTATATAGTACTTAAATAAAAGTTCTAAGTTACATTGATAAGGAACAGTATTTAACTTCACATCTATCAGAAAAACCAAATCAAAATATATACAGTAGTCCTCAGTTACTGTTGCCAGTGTGTTCTGCACCTTAAACGAAATGACATACAGCAAAACCAGTTTTATGATAGGTTAATTCATATAAACTAGAGTGAAGTTCCCACTGCATCTCATCAATGTTATAATGAAAGATGTTATTAGAGGACCTGCTGTATATAACTATACTACCTTGTAAATAATCTGTAACAAGATACAATGTTTCATTTTCAGAAAGCAGATTTACTGTTACATACTTCCAACACATTGTAAGTTCTAAAATGTACACACTAAAGCAAGAAAATATGAAGAAAAACTGTTATACATTCATCTTTAGTTTCAGTTTATTTTTGCACCTATATTTTACTTAATACTATTGAAAAAGAGGGGACAACTTATTAAAGCCCTTAGTTCATTGGGTTAGTTTTGGGAAGTAATTCTTTTCAGTTGGAACATTCAATAAAATAATTGACTTAAAAGTTTACTGCTCACACTGTCAAACAATCCTGGCTTATAAATGCAGAGTCCAGTGCTCTGTGCCTATGACATTTTTTTGAATAATTGAGGTGGATGATCAGGAGTGCTTTCTATTAATATATTGTTCAACTAAAACTGGTTAGTGCTAACAACATTCCAGAAAGTAATTAGACCAATACAATGATGGTTACCTATATGAACTTCACTAAGTTGATCCATATTCCTGGAGACTGTATCTTCAGAAACTTCATCTTGCTGAATGGTAATGCTATCTTCAAATCTGCCACACACAGATACATCAATTTTTTTAAAAAGCTGACAGTTTACTAGAAATAATAGGACACTCAAATACAAAAGAAAAGAGAACTCAAGTACAATAGCATGTTGTGATCCCTCTTCCAAACATTTTTCTCATTTATATATACGTGTATACTTTCTCTCACAAGCACAATGTATTTTTGTCCCGTACAAACCTTCACCAATCATAATCATTCACAACAACCGGCCTCACCATTTATTATAGTAGTGATTCCCAAAGTATGGTCCCTAGGCAGCAACACATACTGAAACTTGTTAGAAATGTAAATTCTCAGTGCCCACAATAAACCTATTAATTAGAAACTTGGGGGGATAAGTTCAAGCAGTTTAATAAATCCCAAAGCAACAAACTTAAAGGACACATGGTCAAAAACTAGGGGGAGGATGGTAATGGGAGGGAAGTGGGGAGGGATGGGAGGGGGAGCTGGACTGGGAGTAAAAAGGAGAAAACTGTATTTGAACAATAATTAAAATAAAATTTTAAAAAATAAAAAAAAAAAAATCCCAAAGCAATTCTACTGCTTGCTGTTTGAAAATCACTACTTCAAGCAATCAAAATGCCCCTTAATAGCAGAGAATATAAAGCAATCATGATATAGTAATGCTATGAAATATCATAAAGCTGTTTAAAAAATGAAGCAGAAATCTACATAAACTGATATGGAATAATATACGCAAGACATATTATTAAAGTAAGCAAAGTAATTTGTAGGCCAATCAGCATCAAATGGTACTAGTTTAGATTCTGAAAAAATGGTGTGTAGCAAAGTAAAAGAATAGAATGACACACACAAAAATGTTTTAACACTCAAAGGGAATGAATTAACCGAGGCTGAAAAGTAAAGAACTCAATTTTTATTTCAACATAGCTGGGAGTTAAATTCATGTATTTATTTAGTCAGTGGCATTGACAGTCTCCCTTAGATTGTCAAATAAAAAAAGACAACAGGCAACACAACAATAGCCATTTGGTGTGAATGAATCAAAATTCGACTTATTTTTTATCAGACTGACAAAAAATTTATTTTTTGATGTGCTGTAGACTTTTAGTCATTAGTTTATGTGTGCTATGAGATGAAAAAGATTGATGATTGCTGGGCTAGAAGAATATATTCCAAAAGGTACCAATAATTTATTTCTGGGGGTCTAGTTTATAGGCAATTTTTATTTTCTGAATACTTTTAATCCATCTCAAATTTAAGTAGTTTTTACTTTTCGGTTTTAAATTTTGAATAGTTTTTATTTTATTTTACTTTATTTTACTTTACTTTATTTTTTATTTTATTCTACTTTTATTTTAAAATATTGCCCTGGCTGATGTGGTTCAGTGGACTGAGTGCCAACTTGGAAACCAAAGGGTCATCTGTTCAATTCCCAGTCAGGGCACATGCCTGGGATGCGGGCCAGGTCCCCAGTGGGGGGCACACGAGAAGCAACCACACATTGATGTTTCTCTCCTTCTCTTCATCCCTCCCTTCCCCTCTCTCTAAAAATAAGTAGATAAAATCTTTAAAAAATTATTTTTAATCATACAAGTAACACTTTTTTTGTTCAAAACATAATATTCCTTGGTTCCTCAAAAAGACAAACACAGAATTAACATATGCTGCAGAAATTCCACTCCTTGGTTAGGTTTACACCCAAAAGAAGTGAATACAGGTATTGTAACAAAAACCTGTGTACACATGTTCACAGAATTACTATTAACAATAGCCAAAAGTTAGAAACAGTCCTGGAAATGATCCATCATCATCTGCTGAATGTGCAGCAGCTGCTGAATGGATAAAAATGTATGCTATATTCATATAATGAAATACTATTTGGCCATAAAAAGGAAAGAAGTATTGGTCCATGCTACAACATAGATGAACTCTGAGAACATTGTGCTGAATGAAAGAAGACAGATAGGAAAAGCCACATATGAAGTTTCATACAAAATATTCAGAGCAGACAAATCTACAGACAGAAAGCGCGCAGTGACCGCCAGGGGCAGGGAGGGCGTGGAAATGGGGAGTGGCTGTGCGATGGGTGCAGGGCTTGTTCTCGGAGATGCCAGTGTTCTGGAACCATGCAGTGACAACAGTGTGGATTTACTAAATAATGCTAAGTTGTACATTTTAAAATAGTTACAATGATAAACTTTGTTATATAAATTTACCTCAACCCAAAAAAAGAAGTGTTTTAGGACAGCCCTAACCTGATATTTAGGATCAAATATCAGATCCCTTGCTGTTATCAGTTTTGTGGACATCTGACCATATCTTCCCTTCAAATTTACATATATATATAATACCTAGGTATTATATATGTACCTAAGTACATATATAATAATTTTTATATAGAATTATCATGGTGTTATTCTCCTATATGAAAATGCTTTTTATTTGCTTTAATTTTGTTTCATTAATCACTCAATATTTTGGATATATTTCCATATAAACAGAGAACTCACAGAAAATAGAAATGAAACAAAGATTTGAGAAGAATTGCTCAATTTCACCAATAATAAGAGAGATAAACAAAGACCTGAAACCAAGATATTATTTCTTATGTATCAGATTGACAAAAATAAAAACACTGACAATAAAAGCTTGGCAAGGTTGTGGGGGAAATATGATGTTTTATATATTCTTTCTCAGAGCACAAATTAGTACAACCCCTGAAGAGAACAATAATTTAATTGCAAATGCAGTTTATGAAAATGCAAACTGATCTAGGATTTATAGCTATGTATTTATCCTGTAGATATACTTATATTCATGCAAAATGATCTTATTGAAAAGTACTCATTGCAGCACCATTTGTAATATGAAATGGAGGACACACTGAGTTGGGGTACATCCAGATAATGGAATACTAAGTAGACATAAAATAAAAAGAAGTGCTATATGTATTACTATAAAAAATATTCTCAAGTTGCTGACTAAAAATAAAAAACATGAAAAATACTATGTAAATTATACTAACAACTATATTTAAAAGGGAGGTGGACAATATATTTGTTTTTGCTTATGTACATATGAAAAATATCTGGAAGGAGAGAGGGAATTTGCTGGATGGGGATGGGGGTGGGAGAGACTTTTTACTTCATGTTTTTAAATACTTGTTGATTTCTGGCCCACATAAATGTAATACCCAAAACTTATATTATTTTTAGAAGGTATTATAATAACAGGATCTAGTGTAATATTAAATTATTATTACCGTATTTCTTAAAAGGGAATTTCTTAAAAGAGAAAATGGGACCCAGGTTCTGACATGTAAGAAAAGAGAGGTAACATACTTGGTTTCCTTTGTTTCTTTCATCTCACGAACCCATACGTCAATAACAGGGCAAGGTGAGCCACCACCTTGGTCTGCTTCACTTGGCTCTTGCAGAACTTCTGTCTCTAAGTCATCTGGTTCTGAAAAGCGAAAACATAACAAAAAACATGTCTCAAAGCAAAATCAGTTTAGAGAAAATGGAATCAATTTCCATAAGTTATCATTGCCTAGTTTTAGGCTAATATATTGATTATAACAAAAAAGTAAATGTTTTATTTATAGATATTTAATCTTATTATTGTGTTAACTCTCTAGTTCAGCTATTTCTATTTCTGACTTTTCCTTTCACATTTTTCATTGCAATAAAAATACTGAAAAGAAATACTGTACACTGAATTTTCATTAGTATATAAAATTTTCTCTTCCTTAAAACTTCAGTAATATGCAAATTGATTTAAAGAAGGTATAAAAAGTAGTAATAGCATAATCAATAAAATATATTAAAAAAAGAAATTCAATTAGATGTTTTTGCTTTCATTTCCAACTATTCACTACAAGTATACAAACACATATCAATACTTTTTTATGACCTTAATAAACCCACTTACATAGTCTTGTAAAAAAAAAGAGTAGTTTAAAAAAAACAATATTGTGGTTAGAAACAAGGAAGAATAGACCGTAATAAGGATCATGGATTCGAAAACTGACAAGAAAATTCAATCATCAAAATCTATCTTTGAGCAACCAAAAAAGGAAAAAAAAAAACCCCTCCTATTACCCAGACTTTTACAATGGTGTTGAGAATGTAACTGAAGTGCCCTAAATCTAATTTCCTAGACCTTCAAATAATTGATAACCAGGGCACGACTGCTGTTTTCGGGTGGGGGCCCATTTTTTACCTGGTTGACATTTTCTGACAATGAACAGTATGAGAAGAGCAACTCTTTCTTCATTTGTTGACTTCTCCTTTTCCTCTCCAGTTCATATATCAATGCTATTTTGTTTACGCCACCATCACCCCCTTTTTTCCCCTGATATTCAGATACTCTTTCCTTCTAGATTTTAAGTTTCCAATTATCTGTCCTATTTAGAAAGATAACCAATACTGTATCAATCCTTAAAGTTTTTAGCTTTTATTCAAATGATTTCTTTGGGTCACTCATACAAGGTAAGCACTTGGGGGAATTCTTTTTTATCTACTTTTAATGAACAATTGTTCTCTAGCACCTTAAGCCATATAAGCCTCACTCCGAAAACTAAATCTGTGACTGTTTTGCCTTCAAAGTCTAAAATATTCACCATATGGCTCTTGTTAGAAAAAGTTTGCTGACTCGTGCAGTAGGCTATACAGCCTCTATTCTGTGCTTAACAGTCTTTTATGTTTTAAGATAGGCTTAAGCTACCTATTACTACCTATGATTCTAATGAATAAGACTATGTAAGTTACTGTGGTGAATTAAAGATGGTCACACATACAGCAAGTCTCTGATGTCTGCCTCACCTGGAGGGTCCTGTGTTTCCCCTCCCCTGGTTTGGTCTGGCACTGTGATTGCCTTGACCACCTGAGTACAGCTGGAAGGTTGCTATGTCAGCTCTAGATCTGGCCTTTGAGAGAACTGGCATTGTCCACCTTGGAATCTGGAAGCCAAAGCCACCATAAAAAAAGTTTAACTGTTCAGAAAAGACCACATGGCAAGGCCATGAGACTAAAACTAAGAAAAGGCACCCAGCTGAGCAGGTCCAGGCTAGCCCTGCCAAGACAGAGAGTGACATCATCCTGTACCCCCAGAGGGGCCTGACATTGACAACATCTTTAGACTCTGAGCCAATGTCATAATAAGATGAAGCTTTGAGGGGTAAATGTACTTAGCATGTGGGAGAAATGTAAATAATTTTTGATTAAATGGCAGACTATGACAGATTACAGATGGCTTCAAGTTCTTTTAACTCTTGTGAGGTGGAGTGTGTTTTGCCGCCTTGTAAATCCAGGCTGCCCTGTGACTGCTCTGACCAATGAAGAAAGACAGAAGTGATGCTGTGCCAGGCTGAGGCTAGCTTTCAGGAGTACGAGTAGCTTTTACCTAAGTTCCTGGGAGCCCTGGGCCACCACATATGGAGCCAGACTGTCTTGCTGTAAAGAGTGCACAGAAAGGCCTGGAAGCTACATGAAAAGGGAGAGGGACCCAGCTCAGCCCAGCCTTCCAGACACTTAAGCCGTTGGAGCCGTCAGACCATCCTGGCTGCCAGCTGAATCCCGCCAAGGTATCCCCGAGACAAAAGCACATAGACTAAAAAAATCACACTAGCCAAGCCTTGATGCAGTTCCTGACACAGAAAATTGTGAGATATAATAAGAGGGTTGTTAACACGAAGTTTTGGGATGATTTGTTGTGCTGCAATAAAAAACCAGGCCAGAGTCTAAAAGTATAAAAATAGTGAATCTAATCTGAGATGAATTACCCAAACATATACACACATTTTTATGATTCATTTATAAATAAGAAATTAAAGTATTAACAAATTAAATATAGCTCATTTTGACTGATTAAAACATACCATCCAAATTGCCTTCTGGTTGCAATGATATCGGTGGAGCTATCTCCCTAAACTTTGGGCTGTTTGTCTCAACAGAAGAATCACCAGTAGCTGATATGTTCATTTCAAGCGAAATACCTTTTGCTTGTTCTTCTCCGACAATTAAGGGTTTGTACTTCTCCCCTTCAGGAGAAATCTCTGAAACAATAAAAATGAAAAATCATGCTACATTTTCAAAGTGACTTGAATATTACCTGTAACAGCATTTGGAGAAAAGTTCAAAAATTGCATTCTTATAACAGGTAACTGGTTAAGCCATTTTATATTAGAAATCAGTAATTAATTGAAGTACATAATAGCCAAATTTTATTTAAATTATACATAATGATTTCTAGGGTGACTAATAAGTGGTTTACTTTTTTCTTCCTTTTGGTGACATTAATATATATGTTACAATGGTATTTTTGAAATTATTAACTAATTGTTTTTGTTTGTCTCTGGTAGTGCTAGTCACTTCTAATTGCTTAGAAACTCTCCATGCTTTTAACAGATGCCAGGAGAGAATGGATTTACCTCGGAACAGCTTGCTGCATTTATCTAGAAGACACTCAAATCTTTCCCTTTCATTCTTTTAAGGTGTCACTTTCTAGCTCACTGACAGACCTTCCCAACACTAATTCTGTCTTACCTGGCTAAGCTGACTTCTGTCCCTACACCAGTAATCCTGCTCGTACCCAGGCTTCTCAGTTCCCCTCCAATGATCTCATGCTCACACCTCAGTCAGTCCAACGGTTAGTCATATGTTGGAGACCTTATCATTACCACAGCTCCTCAAAAAGTTCAGTGTTAAATATTCCACCTTCTAATTTCTAACACCCTATCTCTCCCTCTACTACCCCGACTCTAATAAATGTCTCTCCACAAGTACCTGCAATGTACTGATCCTACCGTATTTCCTCTCCTCATCATCCCCACTAAAATCCATCTAAAGTCTGTCATTACAGTCATTCTCTCGCACACGTCTTCTACTCACTGTGCTCCCGTGGCAAAATCCTAGCCCTGTAAAAATTCAATTTTCTGCCTATGATGTCTTCACACAATGGTTGAAATGATGGGAGAAAAACAGAGAACCTTGCTTGGTGGTCTCGACTGCAATTCAGGTAGGCCCTTGGTGTTGCCTGCAGTCATTGTAAAACACTGGCTAGGCAGGAACTGCCCCTGGTTCCACTATTTTCCTTAGGGAAAATGTAGTGTCCAGGGATTCGTAAATCGTTTTACCTCTTACTTCTGCCTAGTCAACAGAGAACAAAACTGGTGCTGCTCATGTTCTGAAGCATCTTTCCTTCACCATACCCATCAACAAACTGATTGTGGTAGAGGTCATATCTGTATATGTTTACTTATTCAGCCTTATTGTTCTGCTATAAATAATGTCTATTGATATCAGGAATAAGAATGCCAGATAGCATCACTACTAAAGATTATTTTGCAAGGTCTAACAAATGCAGTACGAAGAAAAAAATCATCTAAATAGCCCTGTTCAGTGGCTCAGTTGGTTGGACACCTAAAGATTATACGTTTGATCCCCAATCAGGGCACGCAAGGGAGCCAACTGATGAGTGTTTCTCTCTCACACTGATGTCTCTCCCTCACATCGATGTCTCTCTCCCCCTCCCTCCCTTCACCTCTCTCTCAACATATCCTCAAATGAAGATTAAAAAAATGTAAACTATGATTGAAAAATAAAATTTTAAAAAAGCAACAAAAAGGATTCAAGATAAAGTGAAAGATACAGAAAAACAAAGAAGATCCAAAGTACCCACAGTAGAAGTCCCTAAGTAGACTTAAGGAACAAAACAGAAAAGTATAACTTATGAACACTTCCCTAAATTTGGGGGTGGGGAGACAACTATATAATGAGGAAAACTACCAAACTCTGAGGAAAAAGACCAAAAAAGAACTAAGTAACTGAAGAGATATTCCATGTTCATGGATAGGAAGATTCAGTATTGCCAAGATATCAGTTCTTCCCAATTTGATCTATGGACTCAATGCAATCCAAATCAAAATCCAACCAATTATTTTATGAGTATTGACAGACTGATTCTAAAGTTTGCGTGGAGAGGCAAGAGACTCAGAATAGTCCACATGGTATCAAAGGAGAAGAACGAAGTTGGAGGAATGATACCACCCAATTTCAAGACTTACTAAAAACTACAACAATCAAGACAACATGGTGCTGGAATAAACAAACAGTCCAATGGAACAGAATAGAGCTCAGAAATAGACCACATAAACATAGTCAATTGATCTTTTACAAAGGAGCAAAGGCAATTCAGTGGAGAAAGGATAGTTTTTACAACACACGATACTGGACAACGGGATATCCACAGGCAGAAAAAAAAGCACTTAGACACACTTCACAACAATTAACTCAAAACTGATCACAAACCTAAATGTTAAAATGCAAAACTATAAAACTCCAAGGAGATAACACAACAGAAAACCCTGATGACCCTGGGTCTGGCAAGGACTTTTTATTTTATTTTACTTTTAAAGATTTTATTTATTTATTTTTAGACAGAGGGGGAGGGTGGGAGAAAGAGAGGGAGAGAAACATCAATATGTGGTTGCCTCTTGTGTGCCCCACACCAGGGACCTGGCCCACAACCCAGGCACGTGACCCGACTGGGAATCAAACTGGTGATTCCCAGTTTTCAGGCCAGTCCTCAGTCCCCCGAGCCACACCAGCCAGAGCTGGCAAGGACTTTTTAGATACAACCACAAAGGCAAAATATACGAAAGAAAGAATTAATAAGTTGTATACACTTCATTAAAATTAAAAAGTTTTGTTCTGTAAAAGACACTGTTGAGAGATTGAGAACACAAGCCACAGATTGGAAAAAATTATTTGCAAAACATGTAAACACATAAAGGACTGTTAAAATATATAAGAATTCTTAAAACTCAACAATAAGAAAACAAACAACTCAATTTAAAAATAGGCAAAAGATATGAACAGTCACCAAAAAAAGCATACAGACAGCAAGTAAGTATATGAAAAGAAGCTCCACATAACGTGCCATCAGGGAACTGAAAACTACTGGGATACTGCCACACATCTATCATGAGGGCTAAAATTCTGCAGACGTGGAACAACAGGGACTCATTCATTTCTGAGGGGAGTGCAAACTGGAAGAGCCACTTTGTTAGATAGTTTGACAGTTTCTTACAAAACTAAACATATTCTTACCATACGATTCAGCAATCATACTCCTTAGTATTCACTCAAATGAACTGCAATACTATGTCCATACCAAAACCTGCACACAGATGTTAAATCAATGTAACTTGTCATTGCCAAAACTTGGAAGCAACCACGATGTTCTTCAATAGATGAAGAACACACAAACTGTGGTAGATTCTTACAATGCAGTATTATTCAGCACCAAAAAGAAATGAGCTGTCGAACTGTAAAAAGACATAGAGGAACACACATTCGTGCCTAGACACAATGTTAAAAGATACTACATTCAACTTCCTCTTCATTTGAATAACCTGTTCAATTTGAAAATACCTATTTCATATGCGGACACTTGTTTATGCATAGTTATAGTGCCAAGAGCCAACACACTCATGGATCATAAATGCTTTCCACACAAGAGCTCACCCTCCTGTCCTAGGACGTCTGTCTGTCATACCCACTACAGGCATCTTTTAGTGTTTTAGTCAACCTAATTCTTGAGTCCACCCAAAAACATACACCATTCATTTCAGCACAATGCTCCTACGTCTTTCTTAACATAAAACATCATTCTGACTATTCTACTTTTCTGGTTCCCCCATCCACATTTCCTTTTCCCTTTATCTTTAGATCCCATCCAAGTTATAGCAGATGAAAACTTAAGACTACCATTTGAGATAATTCCCCAGAAAATAAAACTATTCTTCATCTAATTAGAAAATTACTATAAAAAACAAATTCTATTACAATTTACTTAGCCATATCTTAAAAATACCATTTATTTTTTAATGATATTACTTCCAGTATAGAAAAACAACTAGTTTGTGCTTACCGCTGGTCATGGTCATATTTTCTAACAGTTCTGTCTGAAGTTGCAGTTCAGCTTCTCCAAGTACCTTTAGAACAGAATCTGTAGGGCTTTTTCCCCAGACTTTTCGTGGTGATCCTCCAGGATCTAATTTAATAACCTCACCTACTGTGTGTTCTATAAAAAAAGAGATACAGAAAATAATTTCAATGAAATAATATAATACTGCATTATAAGGCAGATTTGAGGTCTTCTATTCAACTGAGTGTTTCTTGAGGCACAAAGACCACATGATGATGGTGCCTAAAAAAGGACTTGCAGGGGATGAACGATGACTGACAGAAAGAAGAGAAGCAACTGATACGAGTAATGAAAGGCATCTATCTATAATTGCTTTTTAAATACTAAGGAATTAAACTCTAGTTTTGGACTATAAAAATAGAAAAAACATGTATGTTTCTATAAAATTTTTACTTGAGAAATTGAAAAAAAAAGAAACCTAAGAAAATTGAGCAATTATTTGGATTACAGAACAGATAAGATACAAATTAATATTTTTCTATGAAAGTAAATGAAGAGAAATAGAAAACAAATTCTAAGATTAAGGCACTTATGGATTAAAAGGAGAAAAGTATATCTAAGAAATTTTGTTTTATTCTATCTGTCTTAAGGAGGCAACTGACACTTTCTTTTTGGCAATCATAATTTTGAGTATACTTTAAAAATAAAATTTAGGAAAGCAAAAAATGGAAAGTTATCTATTGAAGTTTAAGCCTTTAAAATGTTAATACATTTAGCAGCAATAGGTAGAATATAATTTAAAATATTATAGGATATAAGTCATATAAACTTTCAATGGTACCCAAATACTGATTGACAAATTTTTGTGTACCAGTTCCATGAAAGTAAGTACCTGCAAATTTGGCAGTTTGTACAGTCAAAATTATTATTATCAGGGAGCCAATTTTTTAAAAAAAATGTAGTTAAAAAGAGTAGAGAACCCCAAAACAGACCTAGGATTTACAGCCACTTGGTGTTCGAAAAAGATGTCAAAGCAGTCTATTAGAGGGGTGGTCTTTTTAACAAATGAAACTGGAAAACTGAATGTCCACATGAAAATATATCTACTTCATCCCTTTTGCTGCAGGGAGGGAAAACCAGGTACAACTCGCTGTCTCTCTGAGCAGGGTTGACAGAACTGGATATCCAGGGTGACAGGTAAAACAGAGAACTTGGGAGAACTGTAGACTCCTTTTGCATTTCAAGGTGAATACTGATTAGCACAAGAGTGAAAAAATTACTGTAGTCTAGAAAAGAAGAACACCCGAAAGGAGCAAAACTTGGAGTTTACACAGGACCAGAAATAGTTCCTCTTCCCACTAGCCAGAAAAGGAAGTCTTATAATTCACAAGGCATCAAGTAAATTACTCAGAAAGGTTTTTGACCCAGTAAAGGGGGAAAAATTAGCCACAGGCTAAACATTGTTCTGGTTCCACCTAACAGTGCTGTTTGTCACTAACAATTGTCACTATGACTAAAAGCAAGAGATAAAGGGTCAAGCTATTTACAAGTAAGTGAATTGTGCCTTGGAATTAAAAAAAAAGGGGTTACAGAATCACAAAAATATATAGCACGTATCAAAGCAAAATTAATTGTTTGGCCTCCAAACAAAAATTACCAAGCCTGTATAGAAACAGAAGAATTCAACTTATAATAAAGAGAAAAAAAAGTCAACCAATCAAGCCCTGGCTGGGTAGCTCAGTTGTTTAGAGCATCATCCTAATATGCCAAGATGGTGGGATTGCTCTCTGGCTGGGGCACACAAAAGAAGCAACCAATGAATGCACAGTTAAGTGGAACAACAAACTGATGTTCTTTCTTCCTCCCCTCATTCATTTCTCTCTCTCAAGTCAATAAATAAGTTTTTTAATTAACTAATCAAAACCAACCAGAAAATGACAGAGATGGTATAATTAGTAGATAGGAATTTTTACAATTGTCACTATGACTAAATTATATATGTTCAACAAATTAGAGACAAGACCAATGATTATAATTAGAAAAAGAGAAAACATTAACAAGATCCATACTGAACTTCTAGAAAGGAAGGCTGGAAAAAATAATGGCAATTTTCCAAATCAGATGAAAACTATATATTCACAAATCCAAGAAGCTCAACAAAGCCCGTGCAAGAGAAAGATGAAGAAAATGGCACAAAGGTACATCATAATCAAATCTACTAAAACCAAGGCTTAGGGGAAAAAACCTAAAAAGCACTGAGGAAAAATGAGACAATTCATACAGAAGAACAAAAAATAATAATAAAAGAAGACTCTCATCAATTTGTTGTTCACTTATTTATGCATTCATCAGTTAATTCTTGTCTGTGCCCTGACTGGGGATTGAACTCACAATCTTGGCATATCAGGATGACCTTCCAATCAAATGAGCTACCTGGCCAGGGCCAATCCTTGCTATTTCTTTTTTATCCTCATATGAAGACATTTTTCTTTCTCATTGTCCTTTTTTTTTTTTTTTTGAGAGAGAGAGAGACAGAGAGAGAGAGAGAGAGAGAGAGAGAGAGAGAGAGAGAGAGAGAGAGAGAGAGAGAGAAAGATCTCAACTGGTTGCCTTTTTATATGCATCCCAACACCTGGGATTGAATTTGCAAACTGGGTATGTGCCGTGACCAGGTTGGAGGCCACAAACTTTCAGTCTACTGGACGATGCTCCAACCAAATCAGCCACATGGGCCAGTGCAATCTTGGTTGTTCTTAAGGTTGAATACTTTTTCCCATTTTCCACATATATGTGAAATTCTTCTAGCTTCTTTCAATCCTTCTGAAGTGTTCTTTCCTTCAGAATGTCCGATCTACATGTTTACATGTGTGCTAGACCAAAACAGGATACAAATACTTTTAGACTTACTGTCAGCTGCGAAGAAGGATGTATCCAATGTAAACTCATCCAGAGGAATCACAAGTTGACCTCCTGCCTCCCACTTCTTGCGATCAGATGAAACTGACTTTTCTTTTTCATGCTTTTTGTCATCTTCGTGAACAATTGCTTCACCCATATCAGAGTGGTACTTCTTCCCTTTTTCATCTTCTTGAGCTTTAAGATTTTGATTTAATCTACGCAGTATTTCTCGCTTACTCTAAAACAGTTAAAATGTTGTATTTTATGATGTATATGATTAAGTAAAATGGCAGAGAAAACAATTAAAATTGTACCTACTGAAATAGCACTGCTCATCTTTTGAGTTTCTTCTGAGCTTTCCTGGGTATCAGTTAAACTTCTGTCCTTTAAATACAGATTGTTTCAGAGTAAGAAATAATGTTATTTTAAAAGTCTACCTTAAAATTTTAGATATTTTTATTACTTTTGTTTTTCATTAAATTGCTCCTGGTGAAATTATTTTATTCCTGTAAATGCTAACACAACTTCCTTTATTATCAGCAGTGAGAAACAGTTAAATATCAAGTAATAGACTAAATATATAGTAAAAGGGCCAATTCTCAATTATTTCTCATATTTTGGGATTACAGATCACATATTTAACTATATGATGAATAAAGTAATTCAAGATAGGCTGTGTTATTTTGACACTTTCTTTGTTTCATGTCCATATATACATTCTTTTTAAGCAAACTTACTAAACATAATTGAGAACTGGCTTTTCTTCCTAAGCAAAGAGAGTAACAATAGTGAGTTCTGAGTCCCATGTACTAATGATAATATAAATTCTGTCTTCTGTTAGTAAAATCATAGCAATCTTAGACACCTAGAATTTTTAAGTATATAAAAAGAAGAAATTAGTAGTTATGAAAGCAAAGGTATCTGGAAGACTCAGTTTATGGAAGAGCAATTTTCAAAGTTTTAAGTAAGTAATATTTACCAAGAAAACACATAAAGAAAAAAACATTTAGTTGCATGGATTACCTCAACTTGTAGTATTTGAGAAAATACAAAAAAGTATAGTGGTCATTTTTAAAGCAATACAGGAATGAGACAAAGAGCATTTTACCCAGTAAAGTAGTCAGGAATTAGCAGTCGCTACAACCAGAGAGATGAACAGCTACTTGAGATGTGAGACTGGGTACCAGGAGGGGGACCACACAGTGGTATCTAAAGTTGAAGTGAACAATGTAGCACATGCAAAGTCGTTATCAGAAAGATAAGAAACTAAACCTACTTGAAGAACAATGGTTTCTTCTATCAAGTTCTTGAGAGTGACCAAGAAACTTGTATTTATATCTTCCTACTCAGTCCTGTTTTCAAGATAAACACTAAAGTGTAAAATTGATGTGCCAATAACACCAGTGTTTTCTACAAAAAATTAGTGAAACTTAGCAATCACAAGGCACAGACATTAACTGACAGGAAAGGAGAAAATCAGGTTAATATGTTATATTACACAATTCAGGAGACTTTTTCCCTTCTGTCTGATGAATTCTAGACTGAAATTCCACATCATGAGCCCATTTACCTAAGAACAGACTTTTCATACTTTAAATGAATACCTGACACATACTTCAGAGTTTAAACTCTGTACTTGCCTATATATCTGTGTTTTACATATGGCATTACAGAGATTCAGAAATAGAAGGTAAAAGAAATAATTGATGTATTAAATATAATTATAGAGAGTCCACTAACACTTGCTATGCCAAAAAAATTTTTTAAATAAATGTAAATATGTCTTAAACTTTATGTCCTAGAATTACTTTAAGTACCGAGACATTATGTCTTAAAAATGAATCTTTGTTAACTGGGAGCTGGGGCATAAAAATGTATTTGCTTTTATTTTTGGTATATTTGTGTATATATTTTATTTGTTCAATATTTTAAAGTAAAAGAGAGAATCATTTTAATATGGTTTTATCTACCAGGTGGTCCTAGATATAAAACTTATGAGCAGCAAAGCTCTACTATTTAGAGTACATGCACAAAAATCTTAAGTAGTAATTTTTTCCTAAAAAAAACAAGGGAACATTAGAAATTAATATAGTTTCATTAAATTTAATCCTTTAATAATTGTTTGACTTTAGGGAGTTCTAAATATTAGGACACTTACCATACCCACTTCTTTCAAAGCTGAAGTCACAGAAATAACAGATCTCATCTGGTGCTTTGATGGAGAGCCACATGCTTCATGCTGCCCCGAAGGAGGAGACACATCAGAACCCTTTACTCCTTTCAACACCAACTATAATAGAGAATTTAAATATACATTGGGAAATTTATATTTGCATGAAGAGATAAAATGTGTACATAAAATCACTGTTTTTTTATATACTATCCACAGTAGTTTTTGTTTATTCCTTCATTTTCATAATGCAAGGCAATGTGCTAGGTCTTGAAAGATCAGTGAATAAAGAAAAATATCTCAGGCCTCAGCTATAAACAAAATTATGTGTTATGTAGAACTATGTAATTCCTTGCTACTGCATTACAATGTTTCATAGAAAGATCTTAAAAAACAAATGGGCTTCTAAAAGACTAAATATTAGTCCTCTCACTTTTATTTTCATCAATTATATTTTGTGGGGAAAAATTATACTTATTAATCTTATGCTTAAAAAATACCTCTGCACCCTGGCTGGTGTGGCTCAGTGGACTGAGCACTGGCCTGGGAACCAGAGTCGCTAGTACAATTCTTAGTCAGGGCAGATGCCTGGGTTGCAGATCAGGTGCCCAGTAGGGGGTGCTTGAGAGGCAATCACACACTGATGTTTCTCTCCCTCTTTCTCCCTCCCCTGCCCTCTCTAAAAATAAATAAATAAAATCTTTTAAAAAAATGCTTCTGCAATTTGTACAATTTTGGTACAATCTTCTTAAAGTTTAAATGTCAATCACCCAACACAAGAGCCCTCATTATAAAACTGTCAACACAGAATGGAAGAACTAATAGGTATAACGAATATTTATGTCATTAAAATATCATTTGTTGGCTCTGGCTGGACAGCTCAGTTGGTTGGAGGTATCATCCTGTACACCAAAAGGTTGCGGGTTTATTTCTGGGCACATACCTAGGTTGCAGGTTTGATGCCCGGTTGGGGTGTGTACAGGAAGCAACTGATCGATGTTTCTTTTTCATATCAGTGTTTCTGTCTCTGTCTTCCCCTCTCAAATCAATAAACATATCCTCAAATGAGGATTTTTAAAAAATTGTAACAAATATAATACATTGACCTGAACATTTCATACCTCAAGGTTAAAAAAAATAAATTGCTTTAGGGGCCTTTTAGTCTAGCCATTTTATCATCAGGTTAAAAAAACTCAAGACTTTTCTATAAAATGTTTTTTAATTATCAATGTAAAACTGAATTTATTTTATGTCACTAATACTATCTGCTAAAAAAATTAACCAGCAGTGCCACCAAATGACAAAACTCAAAATTTTACCAAATACTGAAGCCAGGTTTACAAACACATGAAACTATTAGTTTACCCTACTCTTGATGCATAGACAAATACAAATACTATTTCATCTGTCTATACTGAATGATTAATAAGGGTTTAATGTATGTTAGAAAAACATTAAGTGACCTGATTTTATATTGTGAATACAGAGCAATTCCACATGCAATTTTATATAGCTAAAGATACGGCATGGCCAAATTTTATCAAATTCATAGAACTTGTGTCTCCAAAGAACCAAAAATATAAAAATATTTGCATTTAAAAAGTTTTTCTGAACCAGTATTGCTACAGCGCATTTACACCAATGTCTAAAAGAAAGAACAGCCCAAGGGAGCAGGAAGGGGGCAGTGTTTCCACCCCAGGGAAAGCCTACAGACCTGTATAGCAGGTCCAAAGAACAGGAGAAAGCAGCAGGAATGAAATACCAAAAAAGGTAATTCAAATTAAATATGAACTCATCATATCAAAATACAGTCTAACTTACCTGACAGAATTTCTCTAATTCTAATTTGTATTGAATTTTGATTATTAAATACATTGTATGCTTTTTAAAAATTGAGTATCTTTCTTATATGTTTCACTCACAATATGAGCATATATGTTAGCTGAGAAAGGCAACTCTGTATTATTTTACAGAAAAAACCCTATCATCATACATGAAAATTTTTCCATATTAAACTCCTATTAAGGACTATAGTTTTTGCCATTAAATATGTCAGAGAGAAGAACTTACAAAATTGGATATACGTGCCAAAAGATTTAATAATTAAGGCTGTAATTCTTACCATTTGTTAGATCAAAGACACTTTAGAGAATCCAATGAAAGATATGTAGTCTTAATGAAGAAAAATGAAACAACATACATACAAACTTTTAGCTAACATTTCAGAAAGTTCAGTAATGCTAACTTCAACTCTACCTTACTATATGTAACACAGAAATGAATAAAGCATATCCATTAAAGATAGGAAGAAAATATTATCCCTGATCTTATTTAACATTGTCCCAGAAGTTCTGGCCAATGCCAGTAAGAATAACACGGTAATACAAGGTACAATTTAATAAAAAGCAGAAGTAATTAAGGTGTAGTGTGTAAGAATAAAGACTTTGACACAGGGTAGAACCAGGTTCAAATCCCTGTTCAGCACTTACTGGAAATGTGACCTCACCTAATTGTTTTATCCTTTCTATATCTGCCTTGTAAAGTTGCAAAGATTAAACAAAGCCATACATGTGCCATGGTTATAATGTGCCTGGCATACAGTAAACAAAAAAATTGTAGGAATTACTGTTATGATGTATACCATGACTACTTGCCAATTATATAGTCTCATGCTATAAGCCCATAAAATTAACTGTAAATTGGTAGAATTCACTGCACAAGAGATAAGCAAAAATCCCCAAACAAGCAAAAAACAAAAACCCAATAATTTCTCTATATATCCGCAATATTCTGTCAGAAAAAGAAACCTATAAATACAGAAATGGAATTTTAAACTGTCAATAAATAATCCTTATAAGAAATATTACAACATGGTTTAAAATGATCAAAATGATGCTGTAAGAGATATAAAAGAAACTATTAGTGACTTCAGATATTTAACATGTTCCTAGATAAAGATTATTATAAACATACCAGTTCCTCTTAAACTAATTTGTATATTTAAGATAATACTGATCAACATTCCCACAGGATTTAAAAAAAAATTACCCTAAAATATATCTGATAAAGAAAAAGAGAGCAAGCCATAGTCAGGTAGATCAGTTGGTTAGAGCATCATCCTGACATGTCAAGGTTGTGGGTTCAATCCCTAGTCAGGACACATACAAGAATCAACCAATGAGTGCATAAATAAGTAGAACAACAAATCAATGTTTCCCTCTCCCTCCTTCTCTCTCTCTCTCTCTCCCGTCCTCCCTGCCTAAAATCAATAAATTAAAAAAAGAGAGAGAGAAAAAGAAATGAGGGATGAACTGTATTAGAAATTAAAATATAGCCCTGGCTGGCATAGCTCAGTGGATTGAGCGCAGGCTGCGAACCAAAGTGTCCCAGGTTCGATTCCCAGTCAGGGTACATGCCTGGATTGCAGGCCATGACCCCCAGCAACTGCACATTGATGTTTCTCTCTCTCTCTCTCTTTCTCCTTCCCTGCCCTCTCTAAAAATAAATAAATAAAATCTTAAAAAAAAAGAAAATATATTCTAAATGCATAATTACTAATACAATGTGGTACTGGTAAAACAAAGAATGGAGAAGAAAGTATAATGCATATATACTAGAAATTCATTATCTAGTATATACAAGAATTTATTTTAAAGGTGACACTATAAATCAGTGGCAGAAGGAACCTGTAGCCATTATGTGATGCTGGGACTTTGATTAGCTACTTGGCAATAATAAATAAGTTAGGTTATCACCTTAAATCAAACCCCCAAATATTTTCCATATAGATCATCTTAAATATGAAAGAGAGAGAGACAGAGCAATGGAGAAAAGAGTAGGAGAAGGGAAGAGAAAGCAAGAACAAATAAGAATTCAAAAAGACAAAAACAGAGTTACAAAATTATAATGCTGACATACTACCCAGTAAGAGATACAAGGGCATTAACACAACCAGAATTAAGCATCTTACATGCTCTTCCCACACTTTCTTCTCTCTCTCGTATGCTTCCTTTCTCTTCCGCTCCAATTGTTCTTTTAGAACAGCAGCACGCGCACTTGCTTGGGCCTGAAAATAAAAACAACAAAGTAAGTTACCAGAAAGAAGGGCATAAAGTATATTTTTAGTTTTTTTAGGTCTATAAAGATACTTATTTATTAACCAAAAAAGAAGTGTGTGCGTGCGTGTGTGTGGTGTATCAGAATAAAAATGTTAGCTCACTCTATATCCCAGCCCCTACACCAGGGCTCAACAAACAGCAGCTGCTCAATAATGCTTGTTGAATGGAAATAAATTCACGTACATTCTAACAGAAATACAAATGTAAAAATTTAAACTATAATTATTATACATGAACCTCACTTTTCTTCATAGAAATGATGATTTATATCTTTAATTTTTAAGGTTAACATTTTTTCATTTTAAGGTTACTTGTGTGATAATTTCATATATTTATGCCACAGTTTAATCAAATTTCTCTCCATAAATATGATATAAAGTATGAAATAGTGCTGTTTTTCAGAAACCCAAAAGTGAGAGATAAAGGGGAAAGAAAATTAAAGCAAGAGAATAGGTGACTAAACTACAAAAGACAACACATTCTCTATCTTAGATTTCAATTTTCTAAGAAAACTCTTTCTAGTCTATACCTTAAAAACTTCAACCTTCTTACGCCTCGTGTCAGCTTCCCCACTTCCTTGTCCTTCAGAATTGTCAACTTCTCTCTGTAAAATAAGCAGATAAGCAAACCACTTAGGATAGAACCTCAAATTCGGTGCAGAGCTCTTTGGAAGAGAATATGAATAAACCTGAAACCTGTATAACTTTTTAAATCAGTGTCACCTCAATACATTCAATAAAAAGGAAAAAATAAAACAAAACAAATATGTAAAATGATAAATTGTTCAGTGTTACTAATTTTTCCTCACAGCTGCGTGTGAACTCTTCACCACTATCAACGCTTAAGGAAAATGGGGGAAAAGACACAAAGAGAATGATAGAAAATGTTCCACTTGCCCTGGCCAGGTGGCTCAGTTGGTTGGAGCATTGTCCTGTGCACCAAAGGGTTGTGGATTCAATTCCTGGTCAGGGTACATATCTAGGTTGTGGGTTTGACCTGTTTGAGACACGCACAGGAGGCAACCGATCGATGTTTCTCTCTTACATTGATGTTTCACTCTCTCTCACTTCCTTCCTCCTTCTCTAAAATCAATAAACTTATCCTCGGGTGAGGATTAAAAAAAAAAAAAAAAAGAAAGAAAAGAAAATTTATCATTTTACATGCCCATGGGTACTACTTATATTTTCCTCTTAGAATTCCTCTGGAACAAACAAATGGTCTTATCAATTTAAAATAAGATTTACTTTATCTTCATGTATAGTTTTGTGGTCTTTCACTGTCTTAATCAGATTTTATTTTGTGTTCATGGCACAACATTTTTAATCTTAATCTATTATAATATCAATTACTTTTTTAAAAATTGATTTTCACTCAACCTGCCTTTTCACCACGAAGTTTGGCTCTAATTTGTTGGCGCTCATTGAAATTCTGCAATCTTATTTGTCTCAGCCTTGCAAGATACACCTATAAGGAAGAAAAAAAACGCAACATGTTAATTTAACAGAAAAACCACCATTTTTACTGTTAAATTATTTTTAAATTAAAGAAAAGGGTTAATTGAATACAAGAAATAAAAGTTTTGAAATCTGGTTAATGGACATATAATATTAGCTTTCGAGTTTTTAATTTAGACCAACTTATTTCTGAAAAGAAATACACTGTAATTACAAATTTTTAATTTTATCAAAAGAAAAGAAATTTAACTCAATACTGAATAACAGTTATGGGGCAAAATTATGACACGGTATATCAGTCAAAAAAAATATTAACAGGTCCCTACAGACCTACAAAATCCTTGAGTTATTGTTAAGCATTTAAACCATGCAGGAAAGGAAGGCAAAAAACTCAAAAATGGCTATGTGACAGAGGTAGCGAACATGCGGGAAGCATACCTCTTCCTCTTTGTTTCTTGGCTTCCCTCCTCTTGAAGAGCTGGACCTGCCTCCATACATAGCTGCCAGGTTTTGCAGGATTCCCTGTTCATCATTTAATGTACTAAGTTTAAAGAATGACTAAGGCTACATCAGCATCTTACCTAGGAATATCCAGGTGCCATTTTATTTCTTTTGTGTAATTCCAATCATTTATTTCTAGCTGATAAACTGATAACAAACCCTGGCATTTTCCTGTACCAATTTAACCAACATATTCAGCGACAACAGAAGGAAGCAATTAAACCTCACATGTAATTATTCGAAAGAGACCAGCTATGTTTTTATTAGCCTCTTGGGAGGCTAGCTGATGCCCAAATCAAACTTTTCCTCTACAAAGAGCCAATCATTTCTACGGGTTTGTTTATATACTGAACACACAATCACAATATAAAATATTTGATCTTAAACTCTTTGCACTTGGGCATGTCCTATTACTATACCACGAATGATCACATTCAATCACAAACTGATTCATTTTTAAACACAGTTTATCATAAACATGAAAATTACCTTATTAGAATTATCCTTCAATAAAAGTATTAGATTGTTGAATTATCTATTTTCTCTTCTTTTGGCACACAACTACACTTCTTGTTCCCCCTAATTAGAAAAATCTTCAGTCCTACTTCCCCATCTAATATCTTTTTATCAGCTTATTGAAAGTGTACTTTTTATACTCATTGCCTCCATTTTCCTGCTTGCCACTTATTTTTTTAACCCACTACCATCTATTTTCTGATCACACTATGACTCTAAAAATTTTCCTTATTTTTTAAAAGATTTTATTTATTTACTCTTAGAGATGGGAACGGAAGGAGAAAGAAGGAGAAAAACATCAATGTGCAATTGCCTCTCATGTACCCCCTACTGGGGACCTGGCCCACAACACAGGCACGGGCCCTGACTGGGAATTGAACTGGCGACCCTTTAGTTCACAGGCTGATTTAGTTCACGCAGTCGACCGAGCCACATCAGCCAGGGTGAAAATTTTCTAAGGTTATCTTTGACCTCTAGTTCAAAATTCAAATAGACCCTTTTGAGCAAATTTTGCAATTAACATTTCCACTGGAAATTAGTTTGGACTAAATCTATTTAATTTACGTAAGTATTTTTTTCTCTCATAAAAATCATGTATGTCCACTATAGAAAATTTATAAAGAATATATATAGCATTCATAATTCTACCATCCTGAAAGGCAAAGTTTAAGAATATTACCTTCTGAATTTCCTTCTATGTATATGTATGAATATGTATATTTATTTTTACAAAACTTGAATTTTACTGTATTAACATTAATATTCTGAGTTTCTTTCCACATTTGATATCCTTAAAAACATTATTCATGCCCTGACTGGTACGGCTCAGTTGTTTGGGCCTCTTTCCGCATGGTGAAGGGTCAGCATGTGCCTGGGTCAGGGCACATGCCAGGATGCAGGTTCGGTCTCTGGTTGGGGCGTGTGCAAGAGGCAACCGATGAATGCTTCTCTCTAACATCAATGTTTCTCTCCCTCTCTTTCTCCCTTCCTTCCCCTCTCTCTAAAATAAATCAATAAAATCTTTAAAAAACATTATTCTTAGCTGACTACATAATATTCCACTAAATAATGAATTATAATTTACACATTAAAAAATTGTCTCTTTCAGTATTTAAAACAATATTCTCTCCTGAGATCTTCCAATCTTCACTATTTTTTATAGGATCTTTTCTTTCCTGGCTCATTGATGTCAATATTTACTATAGATTCGTTCTCTGGCCCACCTTTTCTTCTCATTCCCAGGCTTTAACATATGTTGCCAATTCCCAAATCTGAACCAACCTCACAGTCCTTATCTCTTGGGACTTCTTCTGTATATAAGCAACTGATATCTGGACAACTCCTCTCTTATGTAGCAAAGCTTCCTCAAATAATATATAGACATGACTTCATCATTCTTTTTACTACATGAGCTTATTCCTATTTCAGTTATTGATCACAACCAGTCACCCCAGTCAGAAGGCTGGGAGTTACCTTTCTCTCTCTCTCTCTTATGTCAAATACAAATCACTACCAAAGTACTAATTCTACCTCCTGCTGGCTCTGTAATTTATCCCTAGTTTCCGCCTTAGCTCAGGCTCTCTTTTTTCTGACTCCTGGATTTCCAGAAGAGCTTCCTAACTTACCATCATACCTCTGGTCTCACATTCCCCTACTGTATTCTCTACAAGGAGGCAGGGTAACCTTCCCAATATTCTCTTTCACATTGAGTCCCACATGAATCCTGCAATGGTTTCATTACATTCAGGATATATTCCACATTTTGTTGAATGGTACATAAACCATCTCCTATCTCACCTGTGCCACTCACTGCTCAATCTATAACATCTACATTCTAGCCATGGCAACTGCTTACAGTTTGTGGACTAGGCCATGATCTCCTCATCTTCTTAAAATGGCTAACTCACCTTCTAAAAGGCAAACCAAACATCTCACCCTGGAAAGCCTTGGCCACACCTCCTTTAGTGAGTTAGGTGTGACCTACCATACCACTTTTTATATATGCCTCCTGCAGTAGCACTCAGCAGTGTGGTATAGGGGCAGGATGCTATGATGGTGGGAACATGGACTACAACAGGCTGTGAAATCTGTCAGTTCATGTATTGGTCAATGAACCTAAGCACTGCTAACCTTCAGCAAAATCACTTAAGTTTGCAGTAAGACTGGCATAACAGAACCACCTACTTCATGGGTGGCCCAGAACAAAAAGTGTTACCCTAATTGCATGTTCTGCCTTTCTCCTCTTCCACCCTGAAAAAAAAAGGCTCCTGCCCACTCAGTTTCTTCCCCTCTTCAAGGTCTTGGCAATTACTTGAGCTTTTGGGAAGTAGGTCAGAGATGGGAGAGGTGGGGATAAAACAAGGAATAGGCAGCACTGGGCAAAGACATGAGGTGAACTCTGGAAAGATGTATGGGAGTATCTACAGAGGTACAGGGAGTGGGTGGCAAACTGAATATGGCTATTGATTATATCTTTCCTTCATGGTATTTGAAAAATACAAGTAAACATAATCTGAGTTACTTTGAAGTAACCTTTTTAACATGTATAGTTTGAAATATTAAAGGCAAAAAGTACAAGGGTGTTGTGTGCATCTTTTATCTAGTCTCTCCCAATTTTATCATCTTGCATAACTATAGTACACTATAGAAACGAGGAAACTAGCAATGGTAGAAACAACAAAGATTGATTTCACCAGTTATACATGAATGCATTTGTGTATCCATTTATCAGTGCAATTTTATCACACGTATAGCATTGTGCAACCACCACCGTCACCAAGATACTTAATTGTACCATTACTGTAACACTTCATAGCCCTACTTACTACTCCTATCCCTAACACCCATCAACTATTAATCTGTTCTCCATCTCTACACTTCATAAATTTTACATATATGGAATCCTACAGTATGTATCTTTTGTGACTGTTTTTACTCAGTATTATTTCCTTGCAGTCCATCCAAAGTACTGGATGCATTTAATCAATGGTTCATTACATTCTACTGCAAACCATTATACCATGGTACAAATATAGCATAATTTGTTCATTCATTAATCCACTTTAGCACATCTGGGTAGTTTAAGTTTGAGCTATTAAGAATCAAATTGCCAAGAACACTCAAATACAAGTTTCTAAATGAATATAAATTTTCCATTCTCTGGGACATAAGCTCAAGAGTGGAATTACATCTTCTTGGTGTGGTAAATCCATTTTTAATTTCAAAAGGGACTGCCAAACTATTTTGCAGTGTGGCTACATCATTTTACATTTCTACCAGCAACATATGGGTGATCCAGTTTCTCCACATCCTTGTCAGCATTTGGTCTTAGCGTTATTTGTTATTGTAGCCATTCTGGTAGATGTGTAGTAGTACATTGTTGTGGTAATAATTTGCATTTTCCAAATGGCTAATGGTATTGAACATCTTTTCATGTGTTTATCTGCCACCTGTAGATTCTCTTTAATAAAGTGTTTTAAAAATTTTTTAAAAAGTTGAGTGTTTAGAACTCATATTCTGAGTTCTTTGTGTTTTTAATGGTGAGTTTGGGTGGTTCTTTATATATTCTAGGTATAAAGTCCTTTGTTTCTCCCTACCTGTAATTTCCTGTAATTTGTTTTTTCTCCCTCTTAACATGGTCTTTCACAGGACAAAATTTTTTAATTCTCATAAAGTCCAGCCTATCAAGTTTTTCTTTTATGGATTGTGATTTTGGTGTCATGTCTAAGAACTCTTTATCTAGTCCTAGGTCCTGAAATTTTCTTAGGTCTTTTTATAGAAGTTTAATGATTTTATGTTTTACATTACAGAACATCTGTTTTGAGTTAATTATTGTATAAGGTGTGATGTTTAGATCAAGGTTTATATTTTTGCCTACAGATGAATGTCCAATTTCTTCAGCACTACTGTTGAAAAGTCAATTCCTTCCTCCATTGAATTTGCTTCTTTTGTCAACAATCAGTTGGCATCCTTGTGTGGACCTATTTTTGAGTTATCCATACTGATCCACTGCTGTGTGTGTCTATCCATCCACCAGCACTATACTGCTATCTTGATTACTGGAGCTATAAATAAGCCTCATCATCAGCAATAGTCAGTATTCCCACTTCAGTCCTCTTCTTACTTATTTTGGCTGCCTTAATGCATTTCTCTTTCCAAATAAATTTTAGAATAAGTTTGTCTATGTTTATTAAAATGTTTCTGAGATTTTACCAGGAATTGCATTAAACATATAGATCAATTTAGGGAAGACCTGCCATTTTTACTATATTGAGTCTTCCAATTTATGAAATTGGTATGATTCTCCAAGTATTTATACCTTATTTGATTTCACCAACATTTTGTCATTTTATAACTGGAAGTGACACAAATCCTGCAAGTTTTGTTAATTTTTTCATTTTCTTTGGAGCAACTGTAAATGATATTGAGTTGTTATATTTTAATATCAGTTTCCACTTGTTCATTGTCAATGTATAATATTTAGTTGATTTTTGTGTATTGACTTC